GTTACAAAATGTCGGCACAGGCACAACGGAGGGATGCTACGATCTAAGTTCTCTTCCTCTGAGCAGTTAAATTATCAGCATGTTCCCTCCCTAAATTAGCCGTCATATCTCACATTACCCAATTAGTGTGAAGGTCAAATGTTTTCTTCCTCTTTCTTTCCCGGACTTTACCCCCAACCCCTCTTCTGCTCTGTATTAACCCCATAATTACCAGACAATTCTACATATTGTCAAAAGCAAGAATATATAATACTTGCAGCATTGACACATAGTGTCATGGTTCCGAAAGAAGCAGCTTTTCAAAGAACTTTGAGGCTTTGTTTACCTTAAAGAATCCTTTTATTGCTACATGGCTTTGGCACATACATAATGAAGCCAAAAACTGAATCCTCCCACCCCAATCACCCGTAACAAAGCATAACTCACTCCTTCATTTTACAGTCATCAATCACGTTATGATTGATGACTGTAAAATGAAGGAGTGAGTTATGCTTTGTTACGGGTGATTGGGGTGGGAGGATTCAGTTTTTGGCTTCATTATGAATTAGTTTGAAGTGTGAACTTTCCCTCCCGTAACTCCTCTGGTTACAGCTGACCTTGGAAATATTGTACTGAAATATTGTTGTTGTAGTTATCCCCCAAGTACATACAGTACTTTCCCACCCGCTATTCTAACATTGTCTGACTTTAACTCTAGAAGTGATATGCAGGTTAAATAAAACATATTTGCTTCTTCATATATGGCAAGCAAGAACATCCAATGTTAGCAGTCTTGACATCTGGCCCCCCTTACAAAAAGGACAGATCCTGCAATGTAAACAAAAGGATAGGTTAAAGGTTATTCTTTGGTTTGTTGGGGTGTTTCACATGAAACCTTTTGACGAGCCTGTCAGCTTTCACCTCACTGGATTTCACCAGGTGGCTTCAGACAACAGGTATCCCTTCCATTGTATTAGGTACTGCAATTTCCCTTGAAAAATTCTAGAGTCAAGAATACGCTTTACTTCATAGTGGGTCTGTCACGCAACTACAAGGGGCCTTCTTCGGGGGAGGTCTTAAAGTGGAGCCCCGATAAGGTTTCAACAAGCTACAATGGAAAATTGGGTGAATTCTCCCTAAAAGTCTAAGGAGTTTTAGTTCTACGGTGACCGGATTGATGATCCTTACTATGGGGAAAGGCCCCAAGAATTTTGGTCCCAATTTCTTGCTTGGCAATTTGAGGCGTAAATACTTAATTGACAAATACTTTTGGGGAAATACTTTTCCCCGACTTGGAACGTTCTTTGGGGAGCCCTCTTTCTATCAGCCTGCTTTTTATAGGTTTCAAAAATCTTTTTTAAAGCAGTTTTTGTGTTTTTCCAAACTTCTTCCCACCCCCTCACCCACTGGTCAAGTGTCTGGGAAGCGGAAGGCACCGGAGGATATGCAGGTTAAATAAAACATTTTTGTTTCTTCATATATGGCAAGCAAGAACATCCAATTTTAGCAGTCTTGACACACAGTTTCTTGGCAACAATGCAAGAACTACCTTCTTCCAAAATTTACTTTTACTTCCTCATATAAGTATAGTAGTTCAGTAGGGGCTACATTGTGGCTACAGCACAATGAATCATATCCAGGTTGTTCAGCAAGTCATTGAAAGGCACAATGAATACACCATGCCTCTGTACATGGCTTTTGTCGACTTTGGGCAAAAGATGGAATAAAAATCAGTGGTGCCTATTTCAATCAGAAGATTTGCAGATGATGTTGTTCTCTTCTCACAAGACCTAGAAGAGCTACAAAGACACATACAAGAGTTGCACGAAGCAGAAAAACTGCATTTGATTTAAAAAGAAACCTAAAAAAGAGCCAGGTGATGTTTAATAAATTCATTAAAGAAAGAAAAAAAAATATCTGGAATAGAACTAGATGAAGTAGACCACTATATATATCTTGGCCAATGGCTCTCAATGGAAGGAGATACAAGAAAGGAAACCGAACGACATGTTAAATGTGGTTGGCAAGCATTCAGCAAGCTAAGCATAATTTTCAAGAACCCCCTCTATGCCTGAAACGTTTTCGACCTGCTCTAACATATGCTAGTGAAACATGGACACTAACCTCACAATCAATATAAAAGCTACAAGTGGCTCAAAGACCCATGGAAAGTTACATGCTCGGCATTACAAGACACAATAGAAAGACCTGCACATGGATTAGAGCAGGGCTTTTCAACCAGTGGTACGGGTACCACCTGTGGTACATTGGCACCTGGCAGGTGGTATGTGACCATCCTAGAAAAGTGGTAGTGGGGGAGGGGAATGAGCTGAACCGGTAGCAGCACCGCACAAGCCTGAGCGAGAGATGGCTGGAGCTGCAGGGCTGTCAGGGCTCAGCGGAAGCACCAGGATCAGTGCTGCTTTCCGGCTGATCGGTGCTTCTTCAGGGCTGTCAGGGCTCAGCAGAAGCACCAGGATCAGTGCCAGGCTCCAGCTGGAGCTCGGCACTGATCCTGACGCTTCTGCTGAGCCCAGAAGAAGCGCCAATCAGCTGGAATGTTGCAGCATCTCCAGGGTCTTGTGATTTACATTCAGATGCTTGGCAACTGATTCATATTTATAACAGTCACAGTGTCCCAGGGTCATGTGAAGTGACCAAAACCTGGTGCAACCACCCAGCAGACGGGGGGAATAAAAACCAAACACCCCCCCACCCCACCCCCACTGCCAATTCTCAACAGAAATGCTCACAACAATGAAAACCTCGGACAGGAGCAAGAGTGCCACTGGGTGGGCAGGCAGGTGTCTTGCTCGGCTGTGGCTTGGGGGCACTTTTTTCAGTGCCATTATAACTTCAAACAGTCACTAAGCGAACTGTTGTAAGTCGAGGACTACCTGTACTTAAATCACTTTTTTCCTTTTTTGGGGGGGGGTCATCAAGTTTTTAACAGCTTGCTAGGCGACAGGTGGTACTCGGATATTGCCATATCCTAAAAGTGGTACAATGGGTGAAAAGGTTGAAAAGCCCTGGATTAGAGAACAAATGAAAGAATATGATATCATGAAGAGAGTAAAAGAATTGAAAGAAAAATGGGCTGGTCACATAGCAAGAAGTACTGAGGGCAGGTGGACCCAGGCAATCATGGACTGGATCCCATTTGATAACAGCAAGTATTGCAGGCCCAATTGGCAAAAGAAAGCTCAGGACCTCATTGCTTGGAAACATGCAGAATAGGCCTTCATCCTACAGTGGATAGACAATGGCTAAAATGAGTCTAATGATGAGTTCAGTAGAGTGTATAGAAATCAGATTGATGATATTATTGTGAAAATGAACTGGAGGAGCTCAATTAGAGCACCAAAGGCTTGGGCAGGTGCTGACTATGGAATATCTATGTGGTCACTAGAAATCAAAAATGATATGATGGCACATAATAATAATCAATACACCATCTCTCTCAAATTCTAATTCTGTAGAGTACTGTTATTTGAAGTAACCAGCTCTGTGGGAAAACATATGCAGAAATCTTGCTTTTAATATGTAGGTTTTTTATTTGCTGAATCTCCCAGTACACTTGCTTATTACTTCTTCAGAGGCCATAATGCTTCAAAGAGGTTGTGCTAATCACTGTTATTTTCCAACAATAGGAGTTAACAGCATATCAATGTGTGAATAGCTCCAAACCCTAGCTTGCTTAATCATGCTTTGTTGAATAAACCACAATTGGCTCATTCTCACTGAGATACAAAGCCGTAATGGTTTTACCACAATGGCCGGGGGTCACAACGCCAAACAAAACAAATTACATATGTACTTACAGTATATGTACAGTAGGTATTTGTACATGTCTGTACATACATGTATGCTTAGAATTCTAGTAGCAGTTGGACATCACAGGAATATTTTAGTCTAATTAGTTGGTAATCTCTTTCTATGCAATCTTGTATAACAGGTCTATATAGTTTGTGAGTTCCCAGGGATATATTATGCAATTTTTATCTTTAACAAATAGGATTCTCCTCTAATCTTACAAAATCTTGATATGGAATCTGTCGTCTTGAGCTGCATGAAACATCACTGACCAGAATATTTTTACCTGGGGACTTCAACTCCCCAAATTCCCAAACCAGCATGGGAATTGAAGTCCATGCATCTTAAAGTTGCCAAGGTTGAGAAACACTGGGCTAAGACATGCTCAGAATCACCCATCTGAGAGTGGACGTAAATTTAGATCTCTCCAGTCCCAGCCCAACCCTTAAATCAGTATATTGTATATTTATTCTCCATACTTTACAACAATGTAGTGGTAAAGATGTGGCCTAGCAATGAGGAGACTGTGAGTTCTAGTCCCACTTTAGCCATGAAAGCCAGCTGGGTGATCTTGGGTCAGAGACGCTCTCTTTCTCAGCCCAACCAACCTTCTAGGGTTGCTGTTATGGGAAAAAGAGGAGGAAGGAGTATGTTTGTCACCTTCAGTTATAAAGAAACAATAATAAAGGTGGCATAAAAATCAGATCTGCCATCTCTCTTTCTCACACAGTCCCTAGTGCAATGACACTGATTCTCTGGTTAAGTGCTTACAGCAGCCATCTCAATCATCTATTCTCCAGAAATGTTGGACTTCAGGGCTCATAACCCAAAACATTCACTCTGGGCAGCTGATTGGAAAAAGCTTTCCTTCCTTCCTTCCTTCCTTCCTTCCTTCCTTCCTTCCTTCCTTCCTTCCTTCCTTCCTTCCTTCCTTCCTTCCTTCCTTCCCCTTTTTAAAAGCCTACATCTTTTAATAAAATACATTAGTCTGAAAAGGTGTTACCAGAGTCCTCCTAATTTTTGCCTTAAAGTTTATAGTAATGACTCTTTAACTTTCCATTTTAACCCTTTTCTATGTAAGGCTCCCATGTGGTACTGTCTGCTAAACCAGTCCTTCCTTCCTTCCTTCCCTTTCTCCCCCTCTCTCTCTCTCCTGCCATCGAAAAAACTGCTCTCCTTTCTCCCCTCCCCCCCCCCCAAAAGCAGCCAATTTTGATTTCGAAACCAGTACTGTACAGCAACTGCATTCCCTCCAGAGGGAAGCGGTAGTGACTTCGCCAGAGAGAAAGAAAAGGGAAAAGCGGAGGAGGATCATAGAGATAGGACAGAGAAGAAAAGAACGTCTGAAAGGTTAGTCTCTAGAAGCTCCATAACCGGGCAAGTGCAGCCCGCTGGGATTTCTTTCTTTCTTTTTTTGGAAAGCTGGCAAGGTAGGTCGGGATCCGAGGTGGGCATTCAAACCAATGCAAACTGGATGCGTCTCTGCTGCCGTTCACTGATCAAAAGGAATAGAAATTCTTTTCTTCTGCCTTTAAAGTTTCTGCGAGGGATATTAACTTTCCAAGTTGCTTCCTTTCTGACGTTTCTGGGTAGGCTGCGTAAATTTTTCAGATTGAGCTGGGGCTGAGTTGGGTTTTCTCGAAGAGCTGGAGCATGCGGAGCTGTCATCTCACTAGCCAGAGTTTGACCGCGGCAAGGTTGACAACACTGCGACGCGTAAAGCTGGGTAGAAGGCTTTCCCGCTTGAAAGGGGAAAATGATACCAGGGCTGCGGTTCGAGGCACGCTTCCCTGATAGTTTGTATCGTTGGAGACTTAATTCCCGAATAAGATGTCTGTGCTGAGACAATGCAATATTTTGCGACGTAAGGCCAGTTGACTTGATGGAATTTATTTAGAGAAAACTCCTGTAAGTTTTTATTCAAGTTATGCAGCTAAAGCTTCCCATAAATTTGCAACTGAGCTACCAACATCATAACTGAATCTCCCATATGTTGCTTGCAGTCTTCATTTCTTTTCTTTGGTGACTTTTAATCACTCTTTTTGACTCTTCATTTTGTTTTACGGCAATAAATCCATTCCCCTGCCCATCTTTTCTACTAAGTTGGAAGATGGCTTTATAAATGGCTTTCTTCTCTGGGCTTAAGCTTCTTCCTGTAAGTAGGCCTCATTCTATTCTGTGGATGTCATCAAAGGTCATAAATTACACACTCTTTGATTTAAACAGTCCTCTCTTTTGAGGTTGTCACATTGGAATAAATTGTACTTCCTTCTCCCTAAATGTGCAGGTGTTTGGCCTATAAATGTAAGAGGTAACTGGCAAATTGCCTTGAAGCTGTTGTGTAATGATCAGATGTGAATGTAGTTCCAAAAGTCAAAATGGAGGTTATAGTAGCTTCACCTTTTTTTAATGTGTTACATGTGAGACATACATCAAAAATCGTTGGTGCTTTGATTACATTGGCAGGGTACCAATTAAAGCCTTAGGGCAAGGGTGTCAAACTCAATTTCATTGAGGGCCGCATCAGCATTGCGGTTGCTCTCAGGGGGCCAGGTGGGTGTGGCCAGGGTAGATGCAGCCTAATGGGTGGGCGTGGATGGAGTGGGTGTGGCCTACTGGGTGGGCATGGCCAGCTCTACATCATTCACGTCAAGGGTGCCTGTTGGGGCCTGGGAAGGAGTGGGACAGATCTGAGGGTCCCTGACGAAGGGGGTGGGACTGTGGCAAGCACCAAGACATAGTCCATTTCTTCATTCCTCACAAAGGGTGACATCTCCGCAGCATGCACCCAGGGAGCGGGGCCGACACAGCAGGGGCTGGTTCTTCGCTGTTTCTAGACGGCCTTGTAGAGCTAAGAATGAATGCATTTCAGCATAGATGGCCACCACAAAATTGTACATTGGCTCCCGGCCGGCCTGGGCCAGGGCCAAGGCAGCGGGGGCCGTTCCCTCACTGTTTCCAGGATGGCTTCGCGGGCCACATGAAACCACTTTGCGGGCCGCATCCGGCCCCCGGGCCATGTGTTTGACATGTCTGCCTTAGGGTATAAATTAAAGTATCAGATTAACATCTCCATTCATTTTTCCAACTTATAATTTCACAGAAGGCTGTTAGAAGGAAAGATTCCGAGTTAGGTTCCTCTGAAGATTAGGTGGGATATAAATTAAAGGATACACAATTAAATTATCAGTTCTAGTTAAATTACTTACCATTTTCATAGAGACTTTACTTTAAAAAAATAGCTTTCTTTCACTGAGATTTTGTTGGTGAAATCATGTAATGGTGAAAATAAAAATAAAGTATGTCTTGGGATGTATAAAAAGATATATGAAAGGCTTTATTTTTCTTCTTTCACCTTGAATCTTTCTCATAGTGGTTTATTAATGTGTCATGTGTAGCATAGTGCAAAGGTTAAGTTGTACACTGCAATGCCTTTTGGTTGTCAGATGATATGAGATGGCTGATAGAAAAAAGTAACACCCATTTAAATATTTCTAATAGTCTGTTATAGGAAATAGCCTTTTCCACATGAGCTGAAATGTTTTTTCTAAAAGTATATAGGTTATCAGATAGTATTGCGAGGATATGGACATGTATTTTAGGAAACTTCCTAAGAAAAAGAAATACTTATACGTAATTATATAAAGATTCCTAAAGACAAAGAATAAGCTGGAGCTTGATTAATAATGATTTATTAAATAATCCACAATTAAACAAATCCACATAAAATGCCAAGCCAAAATAGATTTTTTTAATATATAGCTGGACATACAATACATAGAATGTTAAGCCAAAAACACATTTGATCCTGTCTATAGATTGTGCTATGGTTTAGAATCAAAAATCATTTGAAGATGGCAGAATATCAATATTTCCAATACATAAGTGCCCTGGTGGTGCAGTGGTAAGAATGCAGTATTGCAGGCTAATTCTGCCAACTGCCAGAAGTTCAATTCTGATCCATTCAAGGTTGACTCTACCTTCCATCTTTCCAAGGTTGGTAAAATGAGGACCCAGATTGTTGGGGAAAATATGCTGACTCTGTAAACCACTTAGAGCAGTGGTTCTCAACCTTTTTAATGCCGTGACCCCCAACCGGTCGTAAGTCGAGGACTATTCAACCGGTCGTAAGTCGAGGACTACTCAACTGGTGCAGCACCGTTTGCAGAATGGGACTTTTGGTGGGCTCAGCAGGGCAGAGAAAGCCTGGACAATTCCTATTGGTTTTTGAAAGCCAATAAAATTAGACTCTATTCAAGAGAGTCTATTCTATTGGCTTTCAAAAGCCAATAGAATAAAAGGGAGTAGCACAGCTAAGGAAAAGGGGAAAAAAATGGTGGACTGCATTGTTTGGTGACCCCCGTGAAATGGTCCTTCGACCCCAAATGGGCTCCCGACCCACAGGTTGAGAACCATTGACTTAAAGAGAGCAGTAAAGCACTTTACTATAGTAAAGACTATATAAGTCTAAATGCTATTGCTATAAAGTAGAAGAACATTTGACAACCTTCAGATGACAGTTTTTGGAGGAAACATGGAAAGGGAGAGATTACAAGGGAGTAATCTGCCATGGTTAACCGAGGACAACTGAGGACATTGTGTAATGAAATATATGATGAAAAACACAGCATACTATGTTAAGTTACTTACAACAGCATTATGGGACCCAGCTTGTTTAAGCATTATGTATTCAAACATATTTGAATTAATCCTGTTGGTAAAGGGTTAAGTAGAGTTGAGGTGTCAACATACTTGAATGGTGAAGTTTCTCAGCATGAGGTCCCTTACAGTTTTGCTCTTAATCTCTTGCCAACAATATCAGAATAGCAGAGTTGGAAGAAACCTTGGAGGCTTCTAGTCCAACCCCCTGCTCAGACAGGAAGCCCTCTACTCTACTCTACTCTACTCTACTCTACTCTACTCTACTCTACTCTACTCTACTCTACTCTACTATACTATACTATACTATACTATACTATACTATACTATACTATTTCAGACAAATGGTTGTCCAATCTCTTTAAAATTTCCAGTGTTGGAGGAACACATCCCTTTTCATGATACATGACACATTGCTTTTCAAGACATATCAGTTTTTCATTGACCATTACTGACTGTAAGAGATGAGTACACTGAACCTGGGGGCAGGGTTAAATGTGTCATCAGTCTGGAATTACTACATTCCCTCAAGACACCCAAATCCATCTCTCCCCTCTTTGAATTCAGTTGACCCTCTCCTAGCGCCAATTTGACTTGACCATTAGTAGATCATATTCTTGTGTATAGGTAGCATGCATTAAACTTTTAGTGCTTTGAAATCAGTTCCTGTTCCTGGTTACTTCGCCTGACACTGAGCATCTGCATGATAGTTCTTGTCTCTGGTGTCTGGTATCCAGACTTGCTCAGCTGGTTTTCTTGCTTTAACCCATGTGAAATCTGCGTTTTTCCTCGGGTTTAAATTCTATTCATTTGTTTTTCCCAGTGTGTCAATTTTTGAACATTTGGGAGATGTTTTTGAATTGTTGTTGAATAAAGTAGCACTGCAGTTATAAATACAACATCAGTTCTTTGATGAGCTCCAGTTATTTTTGGCACATTAAAGGTAGATCGCTTCAATGCTTTGTTCAAAGACTATGTGAATCATTCAATTTTGCAAACTGAGTGCAGCCCCCCCTTCCTCTCTCAGCACCTGCTATTTGAAGCCTTAAGGGGGCTGTATCTTTTGAAGCTTGATTTGGCCATTTCAGGTCCTCCCCACATCATCTAAGCCAGTGGTTCTCAACCTTTTTAATGCCACGACCCCAACCGGTCGTAAGTTGAGGACTAAACCGGTCGTAAGTCGAGGACTACCCAACTGGTCTTAAGTCAGGACTTTCCCTGCCCGGGAGCGCCGCACATGCGTGGTGCCACTCCCTGTGCCGGCCGAGGCATAGCTGGCAAGCAGCAGAGACGGAGCAGGCTGACCACCGGCTGGGCCACCAGCTAGCCCAGCCCAAGGGAGGTAAGGAACCCGCCGGAAAAGGGGAAAAAATGGCGGACAGCCTTGCTTGGCGACACCCGTGAAATGGTCGATCAACCCCAAATGGGGTCGCGACCCATAGGTTGAGAACCGCTGATCTAAGCATACAAAGAATGCTCTTCAGCCACTTGATCTGAGTGGAACTGCCTTCTGTGCCTGCAGAGGTTTGCTCAGAAGACATGGAGAAAGCCCTAAAATGTCTGCTCCAAACCTTCAAGAGTTGTGGCTTTCTGAACGCTTTAGGTAGTATATTTGGAGAAATGTTTTGGTTGCTTCACAAAGCATCCCACAAAGAATTTCTACAGCTCAGTTATCAGATGGAGCTAAAAAAGTGTATAGATCTGTTGCACCAAAATTATCAGATCCTTTGAGACTTTCATATCTACAGGGTAGAAAATTGATGGCAGGTTATTGGGTGCTTGAGCTGTCTGCATTTTCCTGCAAGGTTAGGAAACAATTCTAAGGATGAGATCACTGAAATCTTGGCCATTTAAAAAAATATTTATTTATAGCATATAGATGTTCACATTGTTAACAGAACATAATAATGCTACTGGTAACCACAATGAACAAGCTCATTCTCCAGGAGTTAAGGAGAATATAATCAAGTCAAATTGACTCTTGCACTGACAGCACACTCTACAGAATGATTGTTCAGAGTAAATCCCACTGTGTTTGAAATTGGTTATACCCAGCAGGAAAGTATAGATAAAATTGTTTTGACACTCTCCTAGACTCATTTCTATACTCTTTTCTATACTCAAAATTGTTGGTTAATTACATATTTCTATGAGATCTCAGAATCTAGATAACTAATTTTGGATGCTTTTCACAGGTTCTAAAGTATTCAGAATGGAAGCAAAGAAAGCAAATATAGTTTCTCCAAATTCTCCCAGACAAAATGTGAACCCTGATCTCGACATTGAACGAAAAAATATCTCTTTCTCCATTGAGCACCTTACTAATATACTGGATGGCGGATCAAACAATACCAAGCTTCGGAGGGAAGTTGGTTAGTAGATAACTCAAAAGAACTCATGACAAATTATTATTTTTTTATTTGAATCCTACACCTCTGTGCCGCTCTGTATCCTATGTCTTTCTTTCTCTCTATCCTATGGACATCTTCCATCATTGCAATACTGCATATGTTTGTTTGTTTGTTTGTTTTAATGTTTGTTTTAAGACTGGAGTTATCTCTTTGATTTTAAGCTACAGCAGCCAAAAGAAGCAGCAAACATTAAAACCAGGCTAACTACATTCTATGTAGTCTTTGGAACTTAGTTTATGAAATTATCAGTTTTAAAAGAGGAAAAAGTAAGTCCCTTGATCAAGGAGAAAAACACACACAAAAAAGTGTGCAACTAGGATTCGGAAGGAAACCATATCTTGATTAGAATTGAGGGAAGAATTTTTACATTCTGAAAAGTTTTTGTTGCTGAAAATAAAAACATGTGATTCAGCATTGGAAAATGCTTTCATCACTTGATGAAAAATCCTGAAAACTTGTGTAACTCTTTGCAGTATAGTAATTGGCTTGGCTCGCATATATTATTGTAATTTATTTTTCAGTGAGACAGGTTACTGTAATAACTTGGTAAATTATTCTTTAGTGAACCACTGCAACTATTTTAAAAATAAATTAAGCCAATCTTTTTGACATATCACTCAAATTAAACAATATTCATTTTTAGAGAATTGTATACATTGAAGTTAGAGCTCACAGAGTACATTACAGTAGACGTCTCCAACTTTAGCAACTTTAAGATTTGTGGAGAATTCTGGGAGTTGAAGTCCACAAGTCTCAAAGTTGCCAAGGTTGGAGACCCCTGCATTACTCTTCTCCCCCCCCCGCCGCCTCTGTGGGTTTTGGGGGGGCTAATTCTTAAGTCAGTTTTGACTCATGGCAACTGTCTGGACCAGAGGTAGGCGACCTTGGCTCTTTTATGACTCGTGGACTTCAACTCCCAGAATTCCTGAGCCAGCCATGCTGAGGGGAAAGGGAGAGGTTTCCAAGCTGAGCCATGCTGGCTCAGGAATTCTGGGAGTTGAAGTCCACGAGTCATAAAAGAGCCAAGGTTGCCTACCTCTGGTCTGGACCAATCCCTGCAGTTTACTTGGCAAGATTTCTGGCAATAGTTTGCCCTCACATTCTTACTAGCACTGAAAGAAAGTGACTGACCCAAGGTCACCCAGCTAGCTTCAGCCTCAGTCAGGACTAGAACTCAAGATCTCCAACTTTCTAGCCTTGATGCTTCAACCATTACACCCAACAGGCTCTCATTAAAGTCAGAGATAATATAACAATGTTTAGTTGTAGTTTATATCTTCTTCACTGCTTACTTTTGGCATTAAGTGGTGCATACAAACTAAACTTGACCAAATTCTATGTTTCATCTTGTTGTGATTTCTTTGCCGTCACATTGGATTCTTTTTCCATTCAAAAGTACTTATTGATCAACATACAACCATTGTTTGTAGAGGCATATATTTTGGAAGTTAGCAGCTAAATGTTCCTCCAGTTTAAAATTGCAGAAACAACCAGAAGTTCCTACAGTCATTTGCAAGGCTCCTGGGAATTCTTTACGGCAGAATCGGAGGGGATAACTGAAGGTGTTGTCATGCTCTTCCTCTGTCATCATGTGTTAAAAGAATGCTTATATATTCAACAGAGGCTGTGCTCGAGGCTGATCCAGAATTTAGCCCTGAAAACCGGTATTTCCAGAGCCAAAATGAAAGATATGAAACAGCTATCAGAAAATCTGTTTACCTCTCCCAAAAGATGGCTAAAATGGGATGGATTGCAGATAGCCGAGAACAGTACTACTGCTTTAAGTATGTAATTTTAATTCTGTAGTATTTTTTTTCTAAATCAGTGAGTTCAGAAACACATTGTATTCCTTAACAGATTTGGACTGCTGCAATTGTAACATGTTAGAAGCCACATGACCTACTGAAAGCACTAGGGTAGGGGTAGGCAACCTTGGCTCTTTTATGACTCGTGGACTTCAACTCCCAGAATTCCTGAGCAGCCTAGGCTTATGTGCCTAGGATAGCAATGTAAAATTAATTACATTACTGGAAGCAATTAGGTATTAATTTTGCTTTTTGTTCTGAATATTATCTTGGAGGCTGTGTGCAGAGATAATGAGAAGGGCAGATGCTGTTTTCGAAAAGGGTTAACAAGATTTATCAAGTGGTTTGGGGTTATGATTTTTAGAAAGGAGAAAACAACATCTAGAAATAGATCTCATTTATGGAGGCTAAACAAGATTGCTCCACTGAAATTTTAAACATCTGCCCTCTCACTGTCTACTAATAAATTGTATATTGAATACATGTTTGTGAGTCACTGTTAGGGGATATAATGGCATCTGTGTTTTTGCAGGTTTCTGGCTGAAGATTTGGCATTTAACATACACATAGTCTTTATAAAGAGCATTTTGGCTTTAGGCACTGATGAACAGATCAACAAATGGATTCCTTTAGCAAATAAGAATTTCATCATAGGGACCTACGCCCAGACTGAATTGGGACATGGTAAGCATCCTTGGCTGGCATCATTATCCAGATCCCTGATTTCGTAAACTCTAATGCCAAAGATTCATCAAGTGCCATTACTTGACATGAATTGTTTTGCAATGCACACATACCTTTCTCTCAACATCCAGGAAGGCTGAAAGAAGCAGGATTTTTTTCAATAGGACTTCTATTGGGTCCTACTGAATAGCAAGAGGACAGGAGAAATTGCTCCATTTTTGTGGCATCTTCAGCTGAGTGCTTTTTCTTGTTTTCACATACACAACAAGGTTGGATTAAGAGGGTGACCTAAATGCAAATCAAGTGCTCTAATATCTAAGTTGTTTACTGAAATTTTGTGGAGGAGACTCTAAGCATAATGCTTAGTGATTCTGCAATGGAAAGTAGGAGAGTAGCAACCAAAGAAATTATTTGATCCACACATCTTAACGTTACCAAGGTTTTACTGAAAGTGTTAAAGATGGACCTGGAGCTGGGATCCATTTCCTTCGGCTGAGTAAACTTTTAAGAATAATAGCAACAATTTCACCCCATCATCCCTATTACATTTCATTCATTCCTGACTTGGAGGATGCTGTAAAACCTGTTTTTGCATATTTTCAGCACAAGCAGTACTTCCATCTGTCAAGGTAAATCTGTTTCTCAAGAGGGCCTACTGGTTAGTGCTTGTGATATCACATTTATGCTATATAGTCTTCACTGCAAATTTTGCCCCAGGTTTTTATATTATTATTTAAATGTTATACAGCAGACAATATAGATGCAGATATCTGGCCGTGTGCACTGTTTTAATTTTTTTGTTTTAAATGAAGCAGAAATGTATTTATGCTTGCTTAACTGATTAAACAAGTGCCGTCTTTTGTTGAGAGTAATAACTAACAAGAACAGTAATAAAGTCCATCATAGCGTGACTATTAATAGAATGTTACCTCTCGACTAACCTTCAGTAGCTACAGAAATATCTTGATCTGATTTTTGAACCTCGATTTTTACTATTTATTTCATCAATTTAAATACAGAAACATAGAAAACTGACAGCAGAAAAAGACCTAGTGGTCCATCAAATCTGCCTTTGAGGGTTTTTTTTAGAGAAGCTCTTGTTAATATGTCCGTTTTTCATTGGTTTTCATTTATGATTTTCTCCATTGTTGTACGGCCACTTCTCTTGTCAAATAGTATCCCATCATCATCATCATTATCATCATCATCATTCTTCACAATCAATTGCAAAGCAAATTGCATACAGAAAAATAGTTATACAAATAGAGTGTAAAGACTAAAGAAATAAATATTCATAACTTTCATTCTTCCAGCCAGTTGGCCATAAGCACTTGAGAATAACCCAGTGTTTAGATAAAGAGGCTTAGCAATTGACTAAACCAAACCAATACAAACTCTAATGTATATATAAAGTATTTCTACATTCTGGACTACCACAGCAGACTTTTTGCTTAGTTAACTTTAGTACAAAGTTCAGTTCTGTTGTCCTTTACAGTCACTGAGCAATATGAGGTAGTGTCTATCAACAAAAAATGAGAGCAGAGTGCTTTCTCCAACTATTTATTATGTTTTGTCCCTAAGAAACCTGGGGCCTTATAATAAGTCCATCTGGATAGGCACCCAGCCTATCCACCCAGGCACCTAGGCACCCAGAATAGGTGCAGAATAATGCTAATTTTGGTTCAAACTGATCTTTAGGTCAGAGCTGTAGTTAAGCTGTTAGACAAATTCAACCAGACAGTGATTTTATGATTTTGTATAGATGTTTTAGAAACCTCATATTTATTGGTGTGCATGTGTATGTGTTTTAACAATTGAACTAGAAGTCCAGACAAAATGAAATTGTTATTCAATGAGTTCTTATATCGAACTCAGCTCTCATGTTAGGAAATATAGAATATGTCTAAAATATTGCAACCTTACTTTTAACTGAGATCTTTGCAGAGTTGGAATTTGCTCACAACAAGAGAAACTTTGCATAAATTTCATTCCTGAGGAAAGACCAGCTACGGTTGCTAAATCTTGCTAGCAGATGTCTGTGGGGACTCATCCAGGTCATGGTTATCCCAAAAGTGCTTTTTCAAAAGGCAACTGAACTTTGAAAATGGACTTTTGGGACTTGTTAGCAAATATTCAATCAACTTGTCTGGTATGCCGAAGACTCTTTTATCTTTTTGTTGCAAAGGATCTAATCTTCGGGGCTTGGAGTCCACAGCCACATTTGATGTGGCCACTCAGGAGTTTATCCTAAACACGCCAAGCGTCTCTTCCATGAAATGGTGGCCAGGAGACTGTAAGTACCAAGCATACTGATGAACTGAATCAAAATAGAAGGAAATGCTAGATTCATTTCTTCTTTTGTTTCCCTCCAGCCTTTAAGATAATTTAGTGTGAAGGCTAGAACTTTCCTAGTGGAATCATTGTTCACTGAACACATTCCAAAATCAGAGAGGAGTAAGCATGATTACTCCTTTAATACCACTTTACTACCACTTTATACCACCTTGGTAAGGCCACACTTGGAATACTATATCCAGTTTTGGTCACCACAATGTAAAAAAGATGTTGAGACTCTAGAAAGAGTACAGAGAAGAGCAACAAAGATGATTAGGGGACTGGAGGCTAAAGCATATGAGGAACGGTTGCTAGAATTGGGTATGCCTAGTTTAATGAAGAGAAGGATGAGGGGTGACATGATAGCAGTGTTCCAATATCTCAGGGGCTGCCACAGAGAAGAGGGAGTCAAGCTATTCTCCAAAGCACCTGAAGGCAGGACAAGAAGCAATGGATGGAAACTAATCAAAGAGAGAAGCAACTTAGAACTAAGGAGAAATTTCCTGACAGTTAGAAGAATTAATCAGTGGAACAACCTGCCTCCAGAAATTGTGAATGCTCCAACATTGGAAGTTTTTAAGAAAAGACTGGACAACCATTTTCTGAAATGGTATAGGGTTTCCTGCCTGAGCAGGGGTTGCACTAGAAGACTTCCAAGGTCCCTTCCCACTATTATTATTGTTGTTGTTGTTGTTATCTGTTCAAGTCAGTTTCAAGTGTTTGTGTCTTATCTTATTTATGACAACTTTAACAATTAAATTGAATAATTAGTGAGATTATATAGTAAGATCTGCATATTCTAGTTTATTTTTAACCAAATGATAACTTCTTTTCTTCCCATCTTCTTGCAGTGGGCCGAACTGCAACTCATGCTGTGTTTTTTGCTCAGCTTTATCTGAAAGGACATTGTTATGGCATGCATCCATTCATCGTACAAATCCGCAGTCTCAGAGATCATTCTCCAGGTCAAGGTAATGTTTTTAATGAAGCTCTTGAAAAGTGTAAGCTAGGAGTCTTTCCATTCTCCAACACACTAGAAGAAGAAGAAGCCACATTTAACCAAAGAATACTACATTTTCTTTTTGATCTCTCTAGGTTCTTCCTAGATATCAATGTAAGAATAGTCTGTAATTTCCTAGGTCTTTGTCCCTTTTCTGAAGAGTCAAGATATGCTCTCCTTCAGACATCTTGCACTTCACCATTTCTCCTGGATTTTTCATGAGTTTGGCCATACCACTGACTAATTCCTTGTGCAATTCCATTTTATGAAATCATGTTACTCATTGCTTTTTTTATTCCTCAGGAATAACTTTAGGGGATATAGGTCCCAAAATGGGCTTTGAGAATATTGACAATGGCTTTCTCATCCTGAAGAATGTCCGTGTTCCAAGAGAAAACATGTTGGCCAAATTCTCTCAGGTATAGACAGATAATTCTCATGTTTTCAAATCAGTACCAAAGATCATAGAATTCTGATACCTGGTTCAGATTTTTGAAAGAATGTTAGTAAATCTTCCTCTCCCCTCCTTTTTTTGAAAGTTGTAAAAGGTTGAGCCCTGCATACCCTACCTACTATTACTACTAGTATTATTGTTTGCACAATTAGCCATATGTTTGGACTGGATGTGGCATCTTTATCCACCTATCAAGTCCTTCCCAAGGATCTGGGCTAGGCATGTGGTTGTTCGATAGTGTTAAAGGCATTGTTTCAGGACTAAGCTGTTCCCAGCAAAGCTACCTTTTGCAATTGACTGATTGTGATCTTGTTGATGATGAAAGTGTTCAAGTAGTGCTCCAGAGGTTTTGAGATTTGCACCCAAGGTACTTGTTATTATTGGCACTATCTTTGCTTTCTCTTGCCACAGGTGTTCCACTTCTACTTACAGGTCTTTGCATTTTGTTATTTTCTCCAGTTCTTTTGAAGTCAATCACCAACTAAACGCATACCACTACAGTACCACACTCAGTCTAGACAACATCCTGTCAGCCCAGGAATATTTTGTGAAAGAACTAGTTTTGATTTTCTTTTTAAACATACATTTATAAAGAGCACTCAAATCATTCAGCTTTTGTAATGAATTTTCCTTTTTAGTGTTATTTTGGGGGAGGGTCCCACAGGTGCTTTTTCAAAAGGCAACTGGACTTCGTTTTTCTTTGAAGACATTTCACTTCTCCAGAAGCTTCTCGGATGAGAAGCAAAACATCTTCAAGGAAAAACAAAGTTCAGTTGCACTTTTAGGACAACCATAACCTGCGTAACTGAGAATCTCCATAGACATTTGAGGGGGGGGGTACTCTCTAGCCCAAGTACATTTTGGTTCACATTAAATATACCACAGTTCACCCATAACTTTCATATAAGATGAAGAAGCAAAATTGGCCCATATTTGCTTCTCAGCAGCAGTCTTCACTGGCAACATTGCACTTTCCTTCTCATACTCACCAAAATATCCAGGATTAAAGAATAAATTTTGTAAATTATTTTAAGTTTTTCTTAATGTCTATCACAGTGGTTCTCAACCTGTGGGTCGGGACCCCATTTGGGGTCAAATGACCATTTCACGCTATCCGCCATTTTTTTCCCTTTTCCCTAGCTGTCCTACTCCCTCTTATTGGTGGCCACACCCACAACATGGGGAACTGTATTATGGGGTCACGGCATTAGAAAGTTTGAGAACCACTGGTCTATCAGCTCGTTCCCCAGTACTTTTGCCTTTAAAATAAAAAAAAATCTGATCTTCCAGGTTCTACCAGATGGTCAGTATAAGAAACAAGGATCTGACAAGATCAACTATTTGACTATGATTGTGGTTCGGGTGAACATGCTTCAGGGTACAGTTATCCCCTGTCTGATGAAGGCTTGTACCATTGCTATCCGATACTCCGTGGTGCGTCGGCAATCTGAGCTAAAACCAGGGTATGATATGAAAAGAGGGAAATGCTTCTGTCTGGAAGCTTAATTTCCCATAGATATAAACACACATAATGCTATTCTCTTTTTACAATATTGTTTTCGATTTTGGGCAGGGATAAAGAATTGGTAGTATTCCGTATGTTGATGGGCTACAATTTTCGGCACCTATTCTGAACTCTGATGTGTACATATTATATTTCTATTCAAGCATGGAAAAATTATTTTAGAAATATGTTTTGGGATTCATATACTGCATAATCTGATTTTCCCATGGATGCCATAGTCACAACTCAGCTTCCTCAACTTCGATCTATGTTGCTATCAAAGAAATGTTTTCCACAATATATTAGCATACATTCAGGAAGTCACTTGGAGTTTATAATTTAACTGGGTTTATTAAATTCAATCAATATTGGTGGGTTCTGTTATTAGCTGATTTATATATCCAAGAAATAATTTTTGATATGATTGTTTCTGATTGAAACAAAGCAGGTATTCTTATTTTAAAACAGGTCAAAGTCAATGAGCCAGGCAACTATAAATATAATTTTCTGTCAATCATGGGAATAACAGCTTCAATTTCTTTTTAGAAAGAGATGTAGTCATTGACTGTTAAGCAACATTTGGAGAAAAATCATATGAAGTGTTAGTACCACGTTATAAGGCCTTGGTAAGACCACACCTGGAATACTCCATCCAGTTTTTGTCACCATGATATAAAAAAAATGTTGAGGCTCTGGAAAGAGTGCAGAGAAGAGCAACAAAGATGATTAGGGGACTGGAGACTAAAACATATAAAGAACGGTTGCTGGGACTGGATATGTCTAGTTTAATGAAAAGAAGGAGGAGGGGTGACATGATAGCAGTGTTCCAATATCTCAGGGGCTGCCACAAAGAAGAGAGAGTCAAGCTATTCTCCAAAGCATCCTGAAGGCAGGACAAGAAGCAATGGATGGAAACTAGTCAATGAGAGAAGGAGAAATTTCTTGACAGTTAGAACAAGTAATCAGTGGAACAACCTGCCTCCAGAAGCTGTGAATGCTTCAACACTGGGTTTTTAAGAAGAGACTGGACAGCCATTTGTCTGAAATGGTATAGGGTTTCCTGCCTGAGCAGGGGGTTGGACTAGATGACCTCCAAAGTTCCTTCCAACTCTGCTATTATTATAATTATAATTATAATTGTTTTGTTGTTGTTGTTATCTTTTCAAGTCAATTTCAAGTGTTTGGGTCTTGTCTTCTTTATGACAACTTTAACAATTGAATAGGTAATGAGATTATATAATAAGATCTGGATATTCTATTTTATTTTTAACCAAATGATAGGCAACATTTGGAGAAAAATCATATGATGTGTTAGTACCAAGTTATAAGGCCTTGGTAAGACCACATCTGGAATACTCTATCCCGTTTTGGTCACCATAATATAAAAAAGATGTTGAGGCTCTGGAAAGAGTGCAGAGGAGAACAGTTAAGATGATTAGAGGACTGGAGGCTAAAACATATGAAGAACTGTTGCAGGAATTGGGTATGTCTAGTCTAGTGAAAAAAAGGAATGGGGTTTGAGGGACTGACACAAAGAAGAGGGACTCAACTTATTTTCTAAAGCACCAGAAAGCAAGGCAAGAAGCAAAGGATGGAAACTAACCAAGAAGAGAAGCAACCTAGAACTAACAACAAATGTATTGACAGTGAGAACAATCAACCAGTGGAACAGCTTGTCTTCAGAAACTGTGGGTGTTCCACAATGCAACATTTGATTCTATTGCTATGGATGTATAAATTGGAGAATATACAGGTAGTCTTCAACTTACGACCACAATGCTAAGTGAGAAAATTGTTAAGTGTTAATTTTGCCCCATTTTACTACTTTTCTTGCTGCATTTGTTAAGTGAATCACTGCAGTTGTTAAATTTAACATGGTGGTTGTTAAGTAAATCTGATTTCCACATTGACTTTGCTTGTCAGAAGGTCGCAAAAGAGGATCACATGACTCTGGGACACTGCAACTGTCATAAATGTGAGTCAGTTGTCAAGCGTCCGAATGTAAATCATGTGACATTGGATGCTGCAACGGTCGTAAGTGTGAAAAATGGCCATTAAGTCACTATTTTCAGTGCTATTGTAAACTTCAAACAGTCACTAAACGAACTGTTGTAAGTTGAGGACTACCTGTACGGATAAAAGGCTGCTTTATCTTATTATTAATGCCTTTTGTAGCAATACCCTGTTTCAGTTCAGATTTGATTCTGCAGGACAACTGTTTGCTATTTCCATGTCTAGGAGAGGTTAGGTAAAAATATAATTTCCTAGCTCTTACTTTGTATCAATATATCCCACACCTTTATTATATTGATAAATAATTCAAGGAAGGCAGTGAATGTTTTAATACTCCTTTCTTCTCCTATTTTTTCCACACAACATCCCTGTGAAGTGAGTTGGGCTCAGAGTGAGTGACTGGCCCAAGTCATCCAGCTGGTTTTGCATGCCTAAGAACTAGAACTCACCGTCTCCTGGTTTCTAGCCTGGTGTCTTAACCACTACACCAAACTGGCTATCTGGGATGGGGCAAGTCTCTCAGAGGATCAAACCCAGGGCCAGCATGTCTTAGAAGATGCTGAGATTTTGTGGTTTGCACTAGCTTTGCTAATGGGGGCCAAAGGTGTAATCAAATGAAAGCAGGAAGCTACTTCTATTGTGAAGGTACTTTGAAGATATGTGGGCAACATTGCCAGTCATTGTGGTTAAACAATATTTTCTTTTCCTCAGTGAACCAGAGGCTAAAGTTTTGGACTATCAGACTCAGCAGCAGAAGCTTTTTCCCCAGCTGGCCACTGCATATGCCTTTCACTTTGTCTGCAACTATCTGCTGGGCATTTTCAAAAGATGCTACATACAGACCAATGAAGGAAAATTTGACTTGCTTCCAGAGGTAATGTGAAAGAGATATAGAGCATCTTTTTGCGTATTTAGAAAACCTTTGGCTCCTTTCATCAGTCAGCAAAATTATTCCTCAGATATCCATTCAGGAAAAAATATATCTTCGGTACAAATCATTCACAAGTCAGTTGCTGTTGAATTGGAGTGTGAGTTTTGTCCTATGTTTTGAGAATCCAAGTAAGGATGCTTGGAATATTGTATATGACTATAAAATAGAAAACCCTATATACTTCAAACTCTTATGCAGGCACTGTACTCAGACTCTGGTAGCAATTCCTGTTATTAAGAATAGGTTCAAGATAGGTGTTCTTTATAGATTTTACAAATGTCATTATATCTAAAAATGAAAAGGTGGAAAATATGTTTCTATACGGTCTGCATTTATCAAGCTTAGGCATTTACTTAATTTAATATCATTATAATATAATAATAATAAAGTTGGAAGGGACCTTGGAGATCATCTAGTTCAACCCCCTGCTCAGGCAAGAAATCCTATACCATTTTGGACAAATGGCTATCCAGTCTCTTCTTAAAAACTTCTAGTGTTGGAGCATTCACCACTTCTGGAGGCAGGTTGTTCCACTGGTTAATTGTTCTAACTGTCAGGAAGTTTCTCCTTAGTTCTAGGTTGCTTCTCTCCTTGATTAGTTTCCATCCGTTGCTTCTTGTCCTGCCTTCAGGCGCTTTGGAGAATAGCTTGAGTCCCTCTTCTTTGTGGCAGCCCCTGAGAGACTGGAACACTGCTATCGTGTCCTCCCTCGTCCTTCTCTTTGTTAAGCTAGACATACCCAATTCCTGCAATTGTTCCTTATATGTTTTAGCCTCCAGTCCCCTAATCATCTTTGTGCTCTTCTCTGTACTCTTTCTAGAGTCTCAACATCTTTTTTACATCGTGGTGACCAAATCTAGATGCAATAATCCAAGTGTGGCCTTACCAGGGCATTGTAAAGTGGCATTAATACTTCACGTGTTTAGTTTCGTATATACATACAGGTTATCACTGTAACATCTACATCAATGTTTCTCAAACTTGGCAACTTTAAGATGTTCTAGTTGTCTGGGAGTTGAATTCTGGGAGTTGAATTCCACATATCTTAAAGCTGCCAAGTTTGAGCAACACTGATTTTGAATTTTTAACTGGAATGTCATTTTTTATTATTTGCTGTACTTCACTAATAAAATGAATTTTAAAAGCAACCCAAAAGGATACTTTCAGGGGGAATGTGATTGGAGCTTTTCCCTTGTTTAAAACAGAAGACTTTGGTTCGATAGACAGTTGTGGTTTCAAGAGATACTTGTGCATTGGCTTGTTTTACAACCACAAAACAAAGGCTTCAGACATGGTCCAAGTAATGTTAAGAGCTTTTAAATCTGTTGTCCAATATGGGTGCTGTTATTAATAGCAGTAATGCTTTCTTAATAGATGCAATATTGATTTAAGACGGCAGAGAGCTTTTTAAGGGTGTGCTTAACTCTCTCCAGTATGAATCAGTGGGATTTGATCCAATTACTAGTAAGCATTTATTGCCTACATTTGAATGAATAAAGTCTTTTACAAGCTGATATCCTCCAGATGTGTGGGTTATTCCAATAGGAAGTACTCAGATTTACTATACAAGACTTTTGAAGACTAGATAAAACTAACCCAAGGAAGTTTTATTTATTTATACCAGTGATGGCGAACCTTTTAGAGACAGAGTGCCCAACCGCAACCCAAAACCCACTTATTTATCGCAAAGTGCCAGGGCCGTATCAGCATTGTGGTGCCCTCGGGGGGGGGGGGCAAGGAGGCACATCTGAGTGCCACCTCTGGCATGCAAAAACCGGGGGTACAAAAATGGGCCCCCATGCTGCAAGGTGCAAAAATGGCCACCGCTGCACCGCGGAGTGCAGATACAAGGCGCTACACCATGTAAGAACAGGGCAGGGCTGGTCAGTATCATGCAGGCACTAGCCCCACCCCATTTGCAGCGTGTGCATGCTCGCAGCCCCGTGCACGCATGCATGCATGTAAAATGCTTCCCCCTCCCTTTTCTTCCAGTCCACCAATCAACAATGGTTGGTGACCTCTGCTCTACCACCTCTACTTGAGCTTGCTAGTTGGCCGCTTCGCCTCCTTTGTGCTGGGCGGGGCTCCTGCTCTGGGTGGCGAGGGCAACCTCATGGACCTGCTGCTGGCAGCGGTGGCATGCGTGCCAACAGAGAGGGCTCTGAATGCTGCCTCTGGCACGCGTGCAATAGGTTCGCCACCATTGATTTATACTGTACTTGTTCCCTTCCCCAAATCCCTGATCTGAATCGACCATATGAGCTATGAATATAAAATATAAACCCTCATAAATGTACATTTCTGACTGAGAAAAGGTGTACCAAATGAGGTGTATTTGCTTATTCATTTATTTTTCATATTCGCTGTTGAACTATTGAAGTTATATACCTTTTTTTAAAAAAGGCTTTGAATCAGTGTTTACTCCTGGCACCTTCATGGACAAATCCCTGCAGTTTTCTTGGCAAGTGACTTACCATTGCCTCCTTCTTAAGCCTGAGAGAGAAGGACTGGCCCAAGGTCAACCAGCTGGCTTCATGCCTAAATACAACTCATGATCTCCCAGTTCTACTCTGATGAATTCACCACTATCTCAGATCATCTTATTATTTTAATTTCTGCCACATTCACAGCTTCACGCCCTGGCAGCAGGCATAAAAGTGATCACTACCAACTATTGCTCAGAAGGAGTGGAGGTGTGTCGAAAGGCTTGTGGGGGACATGGCTACTCTCTTCTCAGTGGCTTGCCTTCCCTTTATATGAAAGTGATCCCGTCTTGTACTTACGAGGGAGAAAATACTGTTCTTCTGCTGCAAACAGCCAGGTACCTTTAGTTAAAAAATTTTATCTTTCATCTTTGAAGCCTTGCTAGAAACATCTAGAGCAGTGTTTCTCAACCTTGTTCACTTGAAGATGTGTGGACTTCAACTCCCAGAATTCCCCAACTAGCATGGCTGGCTGGGGAATCTTGGGAGTTGAAGTCCATACATCTTCAAATGGACAAGGTTGAGAAACACTGATCTAGAGATTTCAGAAACTTTTCCAGAATACCTTTTACAAGCACTTCTACAGCGTTTTTATAAAACGAGTGGTCTTTAGCAATCAAAGTTTTTATTGTCCAGCACTTCCATATTATGAAAGGGATTCCAAAATACTGCAGAGAAAATTTTCACCTTGGCATTCCTTTACTTAAAGAAGGGAGATTTAATGCTAATTGGTTCCAGCTATCTTATGAAACAGAATATCCAAGAATATTCCAACTTCTTAGGAGACAAAGCTGCAAGAATACTTGAATTACAGCTTTTGTGAGAAAAGGAAAAAATTGGCTGGACTGAGTGTCTCTCCCAGGTTCCAGAAAAGAATACTTTTTCCTTTCTTTTTATTGTTGTGGTTATCTTTAAAGGGACAGTGTTGAACTAAGGAGTTAAGGAAATATAGTAGTGTGGCATTCATAAGGAAACAGGGCAAATAGTGTAAGCACAGATTTCCTACATAGTAAAGATCTTTTCTGTATTCTGATGTCTTAAAGTTATCTTTTTTGCATGCCTATTGTTTATCTCTGAAAATAATTGTCATTATTCAAATCATCTTAGCATGTGTCTTGGTTTTCGTTTTTCCTCTTTATTTTTAGATTTCTTATAAAATGCTATGGAATGGCACAAATGAGCCAGCCACTTCCTTCATCAGTTGCCTACTTTTCTTCGGTGAATTCTGGAAGATGTCAAGCCCAGGAAAAAAAGGATTTCCTAAATCCTGATATTTACACAGATGCCTATAAGCATCGAGCCTTCAGGTTGGTATAAAGAAACTGCAATAGAATTTGATATACAGATAGTCTTTGACTTACAACCACAACTGAGATCAGAATTTCTATTGCTAAGTGAATTCCACCACATTTTATGACTTTTTTACACAATCTTTAAGCAAGTCACTGCAACTGTTAAGTGAATCATACAGTCATTAAGCAAATTTGCCTTCCCCCATTGACTTTTCTTGTCAGAAGTTGGCTGGGAAAGTCGCAAATGGCGCAGCTATTGTGCAACTGTTGTAAATACATTCCAGATAACCTGAATTTTGATAACATAATCTTAGAGATTGTGTGATGCTTGGTCAGTGCAAGGACCAGTTATAAGACACTTTTTTAGTGCTGTAGTAACGTCAAACTGTCACTAAGCAAATGTTGTTAGTCGAGGACTACATGTATTACATGCCAATCCATAGGTTGGATGGTAAAAGACGAGGCAGAAGACTTTGCCCTAAGGTCTTATGTCTCAGTAGAAGCTTCTTCCCAGAATTCATATGTTCTTCAGTTGGTTCCCCTAATTCTCAGGATTAAACAAATTGATCATATGAATATAACTATAGCAGGAGAAAATCTGTGTTGCTACTAAAAGTTGACACCAACTAATGGCACATAATCACTCAACACCTATTCAGTCCTGCACAGATGAGGGAAGTTCTTCATCTCCAAAGGAAGAATAAATAAGGGGGGAGGATTCAAAAATAGAAATCGTGTGTAAAATTCAGTTTCCTACCTTGTCCATTTAAGGATGCCAACTGCAGCTAAAACCGTACTGAAGATATTGCATGCACGCTTCTGTCCATTGTCCCATTAAAGTCAAATGTTAACTACTGACTAACAAGAACTCCTTGTAAATTAAGATCCCCTTTATAAAATTAAGTGATTTACCCCATCACTCATCACTTTACCTCATAAACAAGAATGCACACAAACTCTCATGCTCATGCATGCAGTTTTCTCTCTCCTAATAAAACTGCAAAAAGAAAAACAAAATAGAGATGAGATGAGGGACAGGGATGTTACAGTAGGGAGAGGGAACTGGATGGAAGGCGAGGAGGAGGAGGAGGTGGTGGTGGTGGTGGTGGTGGTGGTGGTGGTGGTGATGATGATGATGATGATACTTTTAGTAAACAGATTCCATGCAGGCCTGATTTCCTAGCCAAGTAAATGGAATCAAAGACTCGATATTTTTTAGCAGGACTGTTTACAGTCACTTTCATCTTCTGCTGATTCTTGTTTCTAGCAATCTCTGTTTTCAAAATGATGCTCCGGTCTCATTCATAAATAATTGGTTTGAAGAGGATTCTATTTAACTTACTTTCTAGGAAGGCCACTGGATAAAATATTTTTAGATCCCATGACTGTGTCTTCAGGACTGTTGATGAAACACCTCAACTAATACCCATAGCATCATAATAATCTCAGCTGATTAACACTTGAACCAAATACTCACATAGTCAGAGCTTTACACAGATGGCACAGAAAAACAACCCATATTGAAATGTAACCATTTTATAAACATCAAGTAGAACCTGAGATTTCCATGTATCATAATGGGCCTAAAGTTGCAAGGTGATCTTTGGTTGGTGTATTGAATTGTTTTTGATTTGCAATGAGAATTATTTTATATATCACAGTGTTCAGAAAATGCTTTTATTTACAATTGTTCATTCCAGAATTCCACCCTCCTATGTCATTGCATGGGTCAGTCCCCATCTTCTGCCATTATTATAGAGTACTTTTAGAAATGAGGTAATCAGTTATAAATATTAGTTGAACATGTTGATATGTCAATATTTATTCTTCTCAGGGGTGTAAGAAATGTGGCAAACAAGCTTCGGCAGTTGGTTGAGGAAGGAAAAGGACAACATGAAGCCTGGAACCAGTGCACTGTGCAGCTAGCAAAAGCTGCGATGGTTGGTAACTGCTTTGTGCTTTTCCCTAATCAGTTATTTTGCCAGGAACTGAGAATCCACCAATTAAATGAGGCTCAGGCAATGAAGCCAAGGAAAATGAGACTCTTCACACTTTGCAAAACCACCTTTTGTGTAGGAAGAATGGAAGGGAAAATGGCATTGACTTTTTAAGCTTTGTCAAGGTGTGCCAGGTTTTTTTCCAACGTGCCATGTCTTAAATCTATTTTTAAAATGACTTTTTAAAGAAGACTAATTTTTGATGACATATTTTGGGTCAAAAATTATTTTAAAAAGTACTTTTTAAAATAATTTTGACCCCAAATATGTCATTAAAAATTAGATGTATATTGGTTGAGTCAGGTTCTATGCAGCTAGTGGGCTTTGGATTTATGAGTTCTACATCCTATCACTAGCATTCCCGTACAATTTTTTATAATATACCTAGCATTCCATAATTCAAGTTTCATCTAGAGGCACAAACATGAAGCAGGAACATGATTCAAGAGCTGGATAGCCAAAATGATTGATAAGCTTCCACTGAATCCTGATTTACTGATTTCTGAAGCTGACAATCCTGAAGCATAGGCTTAGTTGGAGTAGCATTGTCGTATTCTAGGTCAAAGTCAGACTGTGAATCATGACTTATTACAATTGTCAAATTTGGGGGGGGGGGCATCAGGGTTAGAAGAATAGAGTCCTAGCTTACAGTAAGCAGCTGTTGGTGCTAGCTGTTTCCTGCATGGTCCACCAATTATTTCTTTCTTAAGTTTTCTGTTGACTTTCCTTTTTTGTAGTGATCTCTCAGGCCATTCATTTGGGTCTGTTGTATCTTCTCTGAGGAATTAGGTCAGACATGTCAAACTCATGACGTCATGTGACGTCGCGCAATGTATTGGGGCAGTTTTGCCATTGCCGGCAATGGGGTGGGCGTGGCTTCCGCATGATGTGTCCGGCCTGAAGGCCGGCAAATTTGACACCTCTGAATTAGGTGAATGTAAATTCAAAATGGTGAACAAAATTACTTAGATTAATGCTACTCAATAGGTCCTACTAATAAAAACATGGAGATTTGTCTAGAGACATCCACATCCAACCTCAAATTAACCACATATGAAGGAAGAGTATACCAGTTTGGAGAAATATGCCTTTCAGATGTAGATCCCAGATATGTGAAAAACTTTCCAGACAAATTTTCTGATCCCAGTTCCTGAAATCACTTTGAGCAGCTATTGCAGATATTGAAATAGAAATAGGACCTACCTCAGCTAAGTCACCCAAGAAAGCAGAACTCTTGAAACAGACATTGTCGCAAAAGGAACTTTTATTAGGGGCTAGTGACAGCAGGGAATCAAAGCAAGGTCTGAGAGAAAAACCCATGAAGCAGTGTATTAAAAGCAACATTCAATACTCCTCCCCCCAGAGTCCCAGTGTTCATTTGAATCCCAGCCAATCCACAGGTGGCATTGTGTTTTGGTAAGTGGTCTTTTCAGCAGGCTCCTCAAGGTCTTTCTCACTTTTGATTTCTTCTGACTTCAAGTGCAAACCGTCTCCCAGATAAGGGAGAGACATTCCATCCCCTGGGAGAAGGACATCCTGCAGATAGTGCAAAGCAATCCCAAAAGCTCCCCCCTCCCAACAGAATGGCAGGCCACAAAGGAAGGCTATAGGAAAGTAGAAAATAGGCATAGGGTTAAAATGCATTTCTTTGGAGACCTGACAATACCCTACTACGTAGAAGTAGAACCTTTCCAATGGATCTCTTTCCAAGTGACAAACAGTTTGACAGACAAACTTTTAATATACGTGCAAGTTTATGGTACAAAGATCTGGGATATGACTCTCTCTGTTAAATTTTTCAGGCTCACAGCCATTACATCGTGGTACAAAAATTTACTGAAGAGTTGGGGAAACATGCAAAAGGATCTGCTATCCAGAGGGTCCTCAAAAATCTCTGTGACCTCTTTGCACTACATGGGATTTTCTCTAATGCAGGAGATTTTATGCAGGATGCGTATTTTTCTACAGAGCAAATTGACAGGGTGACTGAAACCTACCTGGACCTCTTGGCAGTCATTCGGTGAGGTGATTTTCTTCTTCACAAAAATGCATTTAATTCAATATTTGGGTGGTGCTCTTGCAAATCCTAACAAACTGCTTAACCTTTGGATGAACAAAAAGGGAGGCTGCCACATTTCAGGGATGCTTTGAGAAGCACTGACATCGTTTTCATATTCTCCATAAGACTACTTTGCATCTGCTTCTCTATAAAGATTAACTGTATGATGTGCTGTGGCCTAGTAACAGTGACATTTCTGTGGGCACCGTACTCCCTTCTGTGTGAATGAGTGAATATGAAAATGGAGTTAATGTTTACTCGCCATGTCTGAGCAAAAGCCAGTTTGCCCAAGAAGTGTCTATTTTTATATATTTCAATTGTATCCTGCCATTATTGTTTTTATAAATAGTTCAAGGTGGTGAGCATACTTACTGTAATACTCCTTCCTTTTCCAATTTTCCCCACAACAATCCTTGTGGTTGGGATGGGCTGAGAGAGAATGACTGGCCCAGGGTCACTAGCTGGCTTCCATACTTAAGGTGGGACTAGAACAGGGCTTTTCAACCAGTGGTATGGTACCACCTGTGGTACATTGGCACCTGGCAGGTGGTACGCAACCATCCTAGAAAAGTGGTAGCAGGGGAGGGGAATGAGCTGAACCGGTGGCAGCACCGCACAAACCTGAGTGAGAGATGGCTGGAGCTGCAGGGCTGTCAGGGCTGAGCGGAAGCACCAGGATCAGCGCCACTTTCCAGAAGAAGCACTGATCAGCTGGAATGTTGCAGCATCTCCAGGGTCTTGTGATTTACATTCAGATGCTTGGCAACAGATTCATATTTATGACGGTCACAGTGTCCCAGGGTCTTGTGAAGTGACCCAAACCTGCTGCAACCACCCAGCAGATGGGAGGGAATAAAAACCAAACACCCCCCACCCCACCCCCGCTGCCAATCCTCAACAGGAGGAAGAGCGTGGCCGGGTGGGAAGGCAGGTGTCTTGCTCGGCTGTGGCTTGGGGGGCATTTTTTTCAGTGCCATTGTAACTTCAAACAGTCACTAAGCGAACTTTTGTAAGTCGAGGACTACCTGTACTTTATCACTTTTTTCTTTTCTTTTCTTTTGGTCATCAAGTTTTTGACACCTTGCTAGGCGACTGGTGGTACTTGGATGTTGCTATATCCTAAAAGTGGTACAATGGGTGAAAAGGTTGAAAAGCCCTGGACTAGAGCACACTGTCTCTAGCCTGATGCCTTAACCACTAAATCAAACTGGTCTATACCACAGTCACTGAGGAACACACTAGGTTCACTCTATATCAGCCTCTTCAAACTTCTGGTTTCCTCATGGAAAGCTGGCAGTGAGTGTTGGAAATCTTCCTTCCGTCCTTCCCACCCTCCTCTTTCCTTCCTTCTTCCCTCCCTCCTTTTCTCCTTCTTTCCTTCCCTCCCTGTTCCTTCCTTTTCTTCCCTCCCTCCTCTATCCTTCCTTATCTGAACAGAAAAAGAGAAAACTAACTTTCTTCCTTCCCTTCTTCTCTCTCTCTCTCTTCCCCTCCCTCCCCCATTAGGCTGCTGCTGGTGAGGGAGTGACAGATTATGTAAATAGATGGGAAACTGTCACAGATCATTAAAAAAAGGGGGATCACATGATCACAGCAGCAGCCCAACAATGCTGAAGCAGTCACAACGTCCCCAAATTTCATTCCCTCAGGAATAACGAGTCCTCGCATTCTATAAGTTAACCCATTTGAGGTACTGTCCCTTTGTTGATAGAGTTTTGCCCTATATGCAATCTTTTGCCCAGTTAAAGGTTACAGACAGAAGTGTTTTAGCAGTACATAAATCTTGTTTCACACAGTGAAAATGAATTGGACAAGCAACATCTGTTTGGCAGAGGATAAGACATGTTGATTTTTACAGAGAGCAAAAATGCAGCCTAGATCTAATATGCTTGACTTATCATAAACAGGACCATAGACTACTTTTTCCATTTTGTGTTCTATTGCTACCACTGAAATGCTATCCTAATATTCCCCCAACCCACTTCTTTCCTCTGTAGAACAGGATTATGTTTCTTTTGGAGTTTGAGAATCATTCTAGTCTTTAAGATTGTAAAAAAGTTGATAGATTTTGGGAACAAACCACAGTGAATGAAGATGCTGAGAAAAATTTCCAATGGTTATAAGAGGGCATGACTCCAATAAGCTTCTTGCTTTATCCTCAGAGTTAAAAGAACAATAAATTATATTGCAAAACAAATGGACTGTGTATATAATGTATAAAGCTTACAGAACTGGTTGTATTGGCGGACAATTATGGTACATATTTTTTGTTTTGTTGAAATGGTATGTGTATAGTTTCAAAGAACATAATCAAAGAGCAAAGGGCAGACAAAGGCAAAATGTAGAGGGAAATTAGAAGATTTTTTTTTAGAAGTGGGTGGAAAGGGTAAAAAAGGAGCCTCCAGTAGAATGAATGTAATTAAAAATTAAAGTAGTTGTACTATTTGGGAGGAAATGGAATCGGAGAAAGTAGTTTATAGAAATGTTAAGTATTAAATAATACTTAAAAATAGAATTAAAATTAGGTATTATAAATATTACCCCCCCCCTAAAGAAAAGATGAAATGAAGTTTGCATATTAGGGAAAGGTGACAAGAATAAATGCAAAAGTTATTGGGGGCTTAGGTTTCAAGGATGCCTGAAAAGGAGGTAGACAAGATTTGGATTAAAATTTTACAAGAGGTGGCAAGAGAAAGATATGTGGCGTTACCCATGTGGCTGGTCACCTGGTGTGCAGACTAAATTTTCGTTCTAGCCTACCCAACACTTTTTATACCAGTGTGCAGGTCAAGGATATAGTTTATGCTGTACTATTATTAATATAATTAATGTGTTTTGTTAATTATATTGTTAAATGGAGGTATTGTGAACAAAATTAACTCTTTATACTATTATTTAGCTTATGCAAATTGTTGATCAAAGTACCTTTTTTTCATTCTTAACTTTTGTTAGCTTTCATGCTCAGTTAGAGATCGTTGCATCAACTTCTGAATCTCTTGTTGTTCCAGATTTTGCAAACTTAAAAGGACACGTGGTTCTGTATAAATGTCTGGAACCAAAACTACAACTTGCAGGAGCTTCAGGCCAGGGCCAATGGCAAGAGACACGGAGAGCTGTAGTTCTGCAGTATTTGGACAGCCACAGGTTATCTCTCTAGGGCAGGGGTGTCAAACCCGCAACGTCATGTGACGTGTCACAACATATCGCAACTTTTTCTCCATTGTCGGCAATGAAGTGGCCGCAGTTTTGCCATGATGCATCCGGTCCGCGCTGGCAGTTTGATATCCCTGCTCTAAGGATCAGTGGTGATCCATCCATTCCCTGCCCATGAGTCACATCTTTCACTACTGCTTGATTTTTTAAAAACTTGTTTAAATGGATGCCTATAAATTGCTGCTACCTCTGATCTGTACGTTTTTAATCGGATTTCACACAATTTTGTTTATGTGAAAACTTCTATTGGATTTTTGGTTTATATTTTGAGTACTTTATGAGGTAGAATATGACTGATAAATTGTGACTCATAAAATATTTTCCGTGCTCTTTCAGGAAAGATGCTGTACCATTAGTGGATGCCTTTGACTTTTCTGATGCATGTTTAAATTCAGCCCTGGGAAGCTATGATGGCCATGCCTATCAAAGACTTTATGAGTGGGCCAAGAAATCACCGACCAATCAGCAGGTGAGAAGAATCAGCAGAAATAGAAATGGGAAATTGTGACAGGACAGGATAGGACAGGATGCCAGCTTTACATTAAAAAGCAGTATTTAACAAGAAATAGTTGGTTTTCAGCATCAGACCAAGGCAAAATCTATTTTGTAGAGGCCATAGGGAATGGCCCTGAAGGACAAGAGGAAGAACTGCTTCCAAAGCAATAGTCAGATAAGCGGGCTTGAGTCCATTTCAACGAAGTAATTTGAAAAAGCATCTCAGACACCCCTTCCTCAGTTCACACAAAGATAAAGCGAAGGAGGGGGAAAGCACATTCAGACCAGTAGGATTCTGTAACTGTTACAATGAAAGCAGTTCCTGAGCTATATGGCATTGTTTTTTTAGTCTTAAGGACTGATATTTGCAGACCACTATTTTGTTCTAGAGAAGAACTTGGGTGTGTGGGTGTGTGTTGTGGCCTAGCAGTTAAGATGCTAGGCCTGTTGACTGGAAGGCTGGCAGTTTGAGATCCATGCGCCCAGCTCCTGCCAACCTAACAGTTCGAAAGCATGTAAATGCAAGTAGATAAATGAGTATCACTTCAGTGGGAAAGCATTCCTTGCACCTCGGTGTATGTTCATGCTGGAGATATAACCACAGAAGCATCCTTGGAGAATGTTGGGTTCTTTGACTGTGAATTGGAAATGAGTACCGCTCCCTAGAGTCAGACACAACTGGATAGGCGAAACCTTTACTTTTTATTAAGAACTTAGGAACTCTGATTTCACTACATTTAGTTTAACACAGTGAAAACATAAAATTGGGCAGTTAGTTATGAGGCTGTAATGATAAAATCAAGCTATTGTGTTCTGCCTTGTCTTTGCCACCAACAGTCATATGCCTAATGCTTTCCCTTCCCTTTCCCTTTTGCTTTCCAACAGGATGATCGGGTCTTCAAGACATACTTAAAACCACTTTTCCAGAATGCTCTTTCCAAGCTATGAAGAGGGGTCTGGCATGGAGCAACTCTTTCCAAAAACACCTTCCAAGCAACACTGTCGATTTTCCTTAATAAGCCCACATAATGTAATTGTAGACTGCCTTTAAGCTGGGTAACAGCAGACTCAATTGTCTCAAAGGTGCTTTTTCCAAAAGTCAACTGGACTTTTGTTTTTTTTTTTCCCTTTGAAGACATTTTACTTCTCATCCAAGAAGCTTCTTTAGAAGTGAAATAAAGTGACGTGAAGAAGCTTCTTGGATAAGAAGCTAAATGTTTTTAAGGGGGGGGGACAAGAAAGTCCAGTTGTCTTTTGGAAAAAGCACCTTTGGGACAACCATGACCTGGATGACTGGGAATCTCCATGAACAGCAGACTCCTTTTGTTATACAAAAAAGCAGGCTCTGATTCCCAAAGAGCATGTGATGGTGGGATGTTCACAAGATGGTTCCCCACCAAATAGTGATCCTGTATTCATTTTCCATTCTCTATGAAGTCAGAACCAGGAAAAAGCCATACACATTCCCCAACAGAGCCTTCTCCATCCTGATATCCTTCAAATATACTAGACGGCAACTATCCACAGGGAAGTTGTATTCCATGTTATTTGGAACTAGGAAAGGATGCCCTAAAGCAGTAATGATGGGGTGCTAATAGGAAAGAGTTCGTATAGTTGGGTTGGGGGTGGTGCTTTTGAGTCAGGGCAGATTTCTAACAAATGCCTAGACTAGTCCTTGCAATTGAAAGGATGAGAGAGAGAGATTGGTCCAAGGTCACCAATTGAATTTGTACCTAAAGTGGCACTAGAACTCACAGTCTTCTGGTTTTTAACCCAGTGCCTTAATCATTACACTAAACTAGTTCTCATGAAAGTTTTAGGGCTTACTTAATTTTTGAAAAAGTTATTGGAGACTTACTAGAGTTACAGACCAAATCAATGTCACAAAATGACCCTGAGATAACATTGCTGGGGGGGGCAGTTACTGGTTGAGTACATGCTGACATTAAATCTGATTTTGTTTTACTTAATAAATGCATTCTCAGAACCAAACACATCATATATAGTGAGCTACCTCTCCCTTCCATCACTTCTAAAATCATGAAACTTGATTCTTTTTCTTACTACGCATAATACAAATGATTGCTATTTTATCTTGCGACTGTTGACACTGGATTCAGATCTGCATTCAGACTGGGTCTCATTTCAACTGTGTTTTGGACATTTGCTATTTCTCCATCTTTTACAAATAAAGTGGAAAAAATCACACTGAGATTAAGAGGAATATGTTGAAATATAATAATGCTATCTTGCAGAGGAAACCCTGAAACATAGATGAGAACTGAATAAAACAAGGAATCAAGTACATCCAGAGGTGTTATAAAAACATTTACAACCCTCTGTGTGATAAACTAAGTAAATTTAAACTGAAATATAGGATTTGTCTACTTCTGCTTTGTAGTTACATTATATCTGTCTCTAAGCCATTGCCCTACAATCCCATTTATGAAGGAGCTTTTGAAGGACAAAACACGATCAATATACAATTAATTATATTTGTTATGTGGCTTAATTAAAAATAAAATGACTGACAGTCACTATGTTTAAAAAAAACTGTTCAACATGCCCTGTTTCCAGTTGGAAGCAATTGTTCAGACCTTTCTGGAAAGTTTCCAGTATTGTTTTGATTTTTCTGGAGAGGTTACAAGTTCTAAATCAAGCACTGAACATTTTGGAACATCCAGAACATTTCCAATAACAACAGAATAACCCATTTCAAGCTTGGAATATTCTGAATATAAAACAGTCTCCTCTTATGGATAAAATTCCACTGTGTGAAGAATTTGCTCATCAGGGATGTATTTTAAATTAGAAGTGAAAAGGTTCTATTTTTTTTTAAATCTTATGGGTATCACAAAATACATACCCACAGAAGCAGCCCTAGGTTTGTTCCCCTGGAGGCCAGCAATTAATCAATTGGCTGGCAACCAAGTCCAAAGGATGGATTTGGGCAGATCAGGTGTCACAACCATGGGCCTTGGTTGGCTGCTGCCAAAAGTTATAAAGGCAGCCTAATTCACCTCATAAAGCTGTTAAAAATTGTTTCTTGATGCACTCAACGGAAGATAAGTTTGGTTCAGCAGTGAAGATGCGGGCCTAGAAACCAGAAGACCAATCCAGGAGACTGTTTCTTCTATTCCGCCTTAGGCACCAAAGCCAGCTAAGGTGACTTTAGGCAATTTCTCTCTAAGGCAGTGTTTCTCAACCTTGACAATTTTAAGGCATGTGGACTTCAACTCCCAGAATTCCAAATGCTGGCTGTGGAATTCTGGGAGTTGAAGTCCACATGCCTTAAAATTGTCCAGGTGAGAAACACTGCTCTAAGGTGAGTCCACTTTGCAGGTTGTTGCTATGCAGCAAACAGGGATGAGAAGCATTAGATATGCTGCCTTGAATTACAGAAAATAAAGACATAGAAATTAATAATATATTAAAATTTGGCAATCAAGTGTATCACAAAACTCGTTTTTTAAAAGATTTCACTACTATAGTCATGAGGGATTGAAGTTTTAAAGTTAAAGAGCTGATATTTCAGAATCTGAAAAAATGCTATGAATAATAAAGATCACATTTTATTATAAAAGGTTTTAATTAATAAATTATGATCTGGGCTAGGCCCAGATGAATGATGAATGTCTGTGATTTACAGACAATAAAATTAGCTTGTTCCAGCTGTTTCCTTTATCAGATTTACTTCCCTACAACTTTTAATATTTATTTCAAAGTTTCTATTTCTATGCCTTTTTAGAGATAATCTTCCCTCCCCACCTAACCCCAGCAAAAGAAACAGCAAAAATAATAATTATCCACACAGAAGTTCTTTTTGGCCAGAAGTAGAGGCACAATTTCCTGCAATGTCAGCAACAGCAAAAACCAAACCATTGTTTTTCATTGCACATTTCAGGGCTTATGAAAATCTTATTAAAACTGCAATTTTTCTCAAATTAGGTAACATTGAGAGTCACGTACCATGTTGCAAATTCTAAAATAAGGGGTGGCTTAGCTATAAAATATTACTATTTGCCCAGATTTGTTATAGATTTTATCTTATTTAAAAAGGATAGATTATTTTGTGATGCAATTAAACTATATATGCATATATACCAGAATGTAATTCAGGGACCAATTTAATACAGTTAAGTGCTAAGGATTTGCATTGGATTAATATTTAAACTTCTGTTTGCTCTCTACATAAAAATTCCTAACCCTGCAATAGATTCAGTCCCAGAAATGCATGATCTCTCTTATAGAATTGATGATGATGATGATGATGATTGAGTTCGAATGGACCTTGGAGGTCTTCTAGTCCAAGCTCCTGCTCAGGCAGGAAACTCTATACCATTGCAGACAAATGGTTGTCCAGTTTCTTTCTTCAGTGTTGGAGCATTCACAGCCTCTGGAGGCAGGTTGTTCCACTGATTAATTGTTGTCAGGAAATTTCTCCTTAGTTCTAGGTTGCTTCTCTCTGATTACTTTTCATCCATTGCTTCTGCCTTCAGGTGCTTTGGAGAATAGTTTGACTCTTCTTTGTGGCAACCCCTGAGATACTAGAGCACTGCTATTGTGTCACCCCTAGTGCTTCTCTTCATTAAATTAGACATACCCAATTCCAGCAACAGTTCCTTATGTTTTAGCCTCCAGTCCCCTAATCATCTTTGTTGCTCTTCTCTGTACTCTTTCTAGAGTCTCAACATCTTTTTTACATCATCGTGACCAAAACTGGATGCAGTATTCCAAGTGTGGCTTTACCAAGGCGTTATAAAGTAGTATTAACACTTCACATGATCTTGATTCTATCCCTGTTAATGCAGCCTAGCACTGTTGGCCTTTTTGGTGGCGGCAGCACACTGCTCATATTTAAGTGATTGTCCACTAGGATTCCGAGATCCCTCTCACAGTTACTACTATTGAGCAAAGTAGTACCTATACTGTACCTGTGCATTTGGTTTTTCTTGCCTACATGTAGAACCTTACTTTTTTCACCATTGAATTTCATTTTGTTAGATAGTGCCCAATGTTCAAGTCTGTCAAGATCCTTCTGTATCTTAAGCCTGTCTTCTGGAGTGTTGGCTATTCCTGCCAGCTTGCTGTTGTCTGCAAATTTGATGATTTCCCCATCTATCCCCTCGTCCCAAATTATTGATGAAGATGTTGAAGAGCACTGGACCCAGAACAGAGCCTTGGGGCACCCCACTACATGTATGCATGCATGTATTTAAACTAATTTATAAATGTAGTCCTCAAATTATGGCAATTGGGACCAGAATTTCTGGTTGCTAAGTGAGTCATACCTAATTTTATGAACTTTTTTGCCACAGTTGACAACTGAATCACTGCAGTTGCTAAGTGAATCATGCGATCATTAAGCTAATCTGGATTCCGCCCCTGCAGTCTGCTTGTCAGAAGCCAGCTGCACATGGTGATCCCATGACTTTAAGATGATGCCGCTGTCAGAAATATATGCTGACTGCAGAGTATCCAAATTTTGATCCCATATCTGTGGCGATACTGTGACAGTCATAAATACGAGTACTGGTCATAAGTCACTTTTTTCAGTGCCATTATAACTTCAAACTGTGTTTGTGAGGACTACCTGTATAGCTGCCCAATTCAATACACAGTGATGCCAAGTGGTTAAAACTCACAATTTTACCCCCACACATACCCTGTTGTGACAAGAGAATCGGATAAGCCTCTTGATCAGCTCTGAGTGGGATGCCCAAGCCCACTGACAAAACTGTGTCTTTAGGGCCTCGCAGAAAAGCAACAAGATGAGAGCCAATCTTATCTCTGGGGGAATAAGGCTCCAAAGGGAGGGAGCCACCACAGAGAAGGCCCTTTTCCTAGATTCCATCGGATGTACTTTCTTGATAGTTGGGACTTGCAACATGCCCTGCCTTTCTGTTGTGTTGGGCCAGGTATATGCAACTGGGGAGGGGCAGTCTGCATTTTGAGCCAACTGACAGATTCTGGATGCTTTTCAAGGACAGCCCCATATAAAACGCACTGCAATATTCAATTACATTATGCATGAGGTATCCATCTTGTTTTGCATTGTTTTGCCATTAAGGATCGTGTTGGAATGGATGCCACCTCTTTCAGGAGAGGTGTTTTTTTTCAGCCAAGTATAGCTCTTGCTTTATTTCTTATGCAATACTGGCATTGGTACATAGCATGGTTAGGTTATACCAGGATACCTGATGCTTTACAATTTCCTGTTTCAAAACATTAAGGATGTAAGCCTGAAATAATAAATTGTGGTAGGTCTCCATCCTCTTTCTCTCTATTCCCGCTGCCAACAAAGTGTCCTTTGTAATTTGGGAGTGGGAATTGAACAAAGCGGATGTAGCCTGAGCAGATTCAGTGTCACAACCAGGCCCTTCTAACTTACTGAAATGAAATAGGAGTAATTGCTAGCGTTCAGAGAATTTGAGGTTTGCTTTTCAGCCTGACAGTTCCCCTTATGCACTCTTCCTATTTGCCTCTCAAGGTTGTCCCTGGTTACTCCGAATTTGGTAGATTTATGGGTCTCCAGCCACCACCCAATGGTCTGTGATCAGAGTAGCCTATAAGCTCTGTAAAATGAATTAAACAATCTTTTCATGGCAATCTGCCATGATCTGGTACATCAATTTAAATAGCCTGAAATCAGCATGCTTAGGAAACACTTAAACTGGAGCCTGCGTCTCTTAATTGCATACTCTTAAATGAATTTTGAAGCAATTTCTGTACTGCTCTATGGAGTTGTCAAAATATTGTTCCAGGAGTCAAAATTATGTATTCAAGCCAGGAATATTTAGGCCAATTAGTAAAAGTTTTGGACATATATAAGAAAGGCTGGGACTAATAGCTACATGGATTAATCCCCTAAGGATGCAGGTCAGCAGTAGCCTTTTTTTTCTTCCAGAATGCAAACAACATGAAATCAAATCCATATGAAAAGTACATGCATACAGGCTTATTGGCTACATTTGCACATATTAAACTATGGTTTAACATTACATGTATGAGTCATGACAAAACTCAAAGAAAACATTGGCTTTATTTATCCATTTTCTTTATAAGGCCAGGAAGATAAGAACAATTTCAGTTTCCATAGTTCATAGTTCCATAGTTCCTGGCTACAGATAAAGTATGAAAAAATCACCAGGTTGTTTAAATATTCATCAAGGTTAGTTCTAAAGTATAATTCAGGATTCATAAGCAAAAGTAAACCACTGGACATTTTAACAAGCTTTGGGCCAAATGGACCAAGTATTCAGATTCTACACTGGAAATAATCTTTCTGTATCTGAAGGGATCCTTGGAATTTTGAGATCATGTTGGGGAGATTGTCAACAGAGGATTGCCATGGAAAGACTGCTTTCAGATGCTCTCAGGCAAAAATGTAATTTATCAGAACCAAAATAATGAAGTTGCTTCTGCAACCAATTTCTGCTCCCTGCTCCCCAACCCACTTCATTTTCTAAGAACGCCTTATATGGGGCCAAAGGACCCCTAGGGAAGAAATGCTATGCTAGAGAGTAGGGCTTTGCATAGCATGCCAACTTCTCATTTAATTATCAGATGGGGCAGAGAGCGGAACGGGAGGTACGGCATATTGATTCTTATTCTAAGAAAATGTCATTTGCATTGTGCAGCCTACTTTCCATTTACAAATGCTTTGAAAAACCCAGCCAATAATTTTAAATACTTTCCCTATTTTAAATGTTCTTTCCTTTGCCATTCTTACATGTCCTAGAGTATAAAACCATTAAGTAAGAAAATAAGTAGGAATACACAGTTTGCAATTATAATTTCCAGACTGTATTTTATTAGTGTTTTGTTGGAAAGCATTACATTTGGAAATAATATTGCACCTGGCATTAAAAAATAAGGATTTCTGCCACAGGATGGTTTTGCATTCAGAATCCAATATAAATACTTCTAATTGTACTTTCATAGCTGCAGATATAATATTTAGTTGCTTGATTTATAATGCATAGAAAGGAACAGTTGCCATAACTGCAAAATGCTGCAGTTTGGAAAATAAAAGCCATGGAGGTTTGTTGGCAACTAAATTGTTATAATACTGCTTGCTCACTGATTTAGGAAAAACAAGGTTAGATTACATGATGGTAGTATTTCATCTCCAAAAGCACCATAACCATTTCTGGGGACAATTCAGAAGGAATTTCTCCAGCTTTAACTACTTATTTAACATTTTAACTCTTATTTTCAGAAGTTGTAATAATGAGATGGATTAAACACATTTTGAAGCTGATTTTTATCATTCTATATTGTGGTCAATGACCATAAGAAAACAAAAATGTTACAATATGGTCATCTGCCATTTTTTTTTAAGGATGCCCCCTTGTTTATCCTTTGTTTTTAAAAAGTCGCAATATTAGAGCAGCAACATGCATACGTTTCTCACAAGACAAAAGACAGAAGAGTCCAGCACATGTCCACTCTCCAGTCTTTAAAAAACAATAATAAATATTCATAGCAAAATAAGAACAGAGAGGCTCCAATACTGTTTTTGACAAAGCATTCCTAATACATTGTTCTGAGGATGCTGGGTCATTTTTTAAAAAAAATTAAAAACAGAACGAACAGAAAATCAATCATCCGTCTTCCGCGCCAGCCTGCAGAAAGTCCAGTTGTGCTCAACTGTGTTTTCATTGGCTCGTTCGCTCATGTGGTGGACCCTCGTGTTTCGGATGGTGAAGCCTTGCTTTGTTATATACTCCATCAGGTGAACTCTAAGAGAGACTTCTTGGTGGTAGTCACAGGGCCCAAATGTGAAAGACACTTGGCAGTCCCTGGTGTCCATCATATGTTTATTCCACTTGGTGAAGTAATTGGAAATGCCTTCCAGCAATGAGTGGACCTTGGTTGTGATGGTTAGCTGTGTGATGATCACTGCCACTGGATTGGAATACTTTGATAGTTTGCGTGTACTAGACAACTCTACTACCTCTTCAAAAGTATCCACAGAATACAAAGGTTTAGGTTCATTCAGACATTGTATTAAGGGTTCAATCTGGTAAAAATCTGCTTCCTTCCGAAGAAGATCGAATTCCTTAAAATCCAAAGGTAGAGTTAGCTCTGAGGTTCGTAAAAAGTTGAGAACGTACCGGAAAAGAGGCCCATCTCGGTCAATGAAGTAATTGCCCTGAGAGTCTCTGGCCGTCGGGAAATCGCCCCTGAACATGGCCCCCAACATTGAATCAGGATATCTCGTGAGAGTAGTAAGCGATGTCGTATACAAGTGTCCACCCACATTTAGAGTGATTGGCTCAGTCATCTTAGGGAGGAAAAAGAAAGTTTCAGAACTCTTTTACAATCATATGAGCACTTATTACCCAGTTTTAGATATTCAACAAATCACCCAGAATTCACCTGTTTTTTAGAAAGACGAAATAGGAATTGTGTAATTGAAGAACAGCTTGCAGAATACACAAATTATTTAGGCAGCACATGCTACCAGTTCAATCACTTCTGATTGGTTAAAATCATCTTGTATAGACTGCTTTAAATAAATTTATGTGGCAGCTTCCACAAGCCCATTTCATTTACAGGGAGTCCTCAACTTGCGACCGTAATTGGCCCTGCAAATACAACTGTATAACTGTCGTGATAGTTGTTAAGCAAGTCTTCAGGTGACTGCACACAATTTTATGACTTTTTTGCGGCAGTTGTTAAACAAACACTGTGGTTGATAAGCAAACCCACTGTTTGCTATGGGACTTTTTACAGGAAACCGTTTCTGGCCAAAAAAAAAATAATTGTAAATCGTGGTCATGCTATAAATGAGGGCCAACTGCCCAAAATGCAATAACATGACTGCAAAGGGTAAGGGGCCCTCACTGTTGGAACCTCGAATCCAGGTCGTAAGTAGGTATTTCAGGATCCCCATAACTTTGAACGGTTGCTAAATGACTGGTCACAAATCAAGAATTACCTGTACATACATCACTAGGTGTTATTTCTATGCTTTTCTCTATATAGCTTTCTTACTGATTTTGGGGGCAATTTAAAAGAACACATCTAACTTTTTACAATAAGTGTTGCACAGCTTCAGTTCACACCATGAAAACAGAGTGTCAAGTAGCATAGAATCCTGTGGTTGTTAGGAACTGATTACTGAGTACAATCCACTCTCTATGCAGAAATCCAAATTAAGGCCTTTCCAACAATTAATTGTCTAGGCTCTGATTAACATATCCAAAACAAAAGCTCTTATCAGAGTGAACTAATGTTATTGTTAGGAAGTATTTTTCTAATGTTTACCTGGAAATTGCCTTTCTGCAATTTTAACCCCTTATCCCCTGCACTTTGGAATGGGAAACAGTTTAACCTTCTAATTGACCTTTTTCTTTCAGATATCGAAAAGGCTAAGCAAATCCAATGGATCACAATTTAAAGTGGCATCCCTGTAGCCTTTAACTTCCCCTACAGGCCTTGTTGGTTGAATTCTAGGATAGTTTATAACTTATAACAACCCAATTAAATAATATATTTAAAAGAATGCAATGTGGGAGGACCAATGTATCAGATTTGAATGAAACTTGAGTTTCATTCAGTTTCAAATTGCTGATCAAGACGTGATAATTTTAAAAGAGATACCTCCAAAAATTTTAAGGCTGTAAAAATGAATGTTCTACCAAAGTTTCTTTTTTTGTTTCAGATGATACCTATTCTTAAAAAAGAGGCAAATTTGGAGGAATGGCAAAAGGGTATCAATAATTTTATATGGGCCGGGAAGAAACCAAGGGTTAAATTTAAGATATTACAGGATGCTCGAGAAAGAGGGGGACTTAAGGCATCCAATTTGAAATTATATTATGATGCAGCCGCCCTAACTTGGTTAAGTGATTGGCTTAATTTAACAAATATGGATATTCTTTTTTTGGAAGGTTGGGATTTAATATATGGTTGGCATGCATATTTAATTTTTAATAAGAAAGTTGATCGGACTTTTAAATCACATATTTTGAGGAATGCCTTACTTCGTGTTTGGAAGAAGTATTATTATAGATTAAATTATAAAATACCTATCTGGGGGATTCCCAGACATGCAATTGAGGGAACCTCTAAGGGGACAAATTTTGATAAAATTTCATATAAAGAATTGTTAATTTGTTCTGGTTCGAATTGGCATTTGAAATCCCTAGATGTATTAAGGCAGCAAAATATTCTACAGTCATGGTTTCAATATTTACAAATAATGGATAGATGGACTGTAGACAAGAAAGAGGGAATAACACTAGAAGATAGACAATTGGTTATTCAGATTAAAAACCAAGGTCCGGCTCATATAAAAAGAATATATAATGTTTTATTAGAGTTAGATTCGGAAACAGAATTGGTTAAAGATTGTATGATTAAATGGGCTCAGAATATACAGGAGCCGATCTCATTGGATTTATGGGAGATAATTTGGATAAGAAATGTTAAATTTACACAAGCTCAAAATTTGAGAGAAAATTTTTATAAAATGTTTTATAGATGGCATTTAGATCCTAAAAAATTATCTTGTATGTATTCCAACATACAGCCCAAATGTTGGAGATGTGGCAATAATGATGCGACATACTTTCATATTTGGTGGAATTGTAAAAAAGTAAAGGCTTTTTGGATTATGATTTGGTGGAACATTCAAAAGATTTTTAGAAAGAAGATAAAGTTTACTCCTCAACTATTTTTACTTGGTATTTTTGTTGACTTAAATGAAAAAGAAACTACTTTGATGTTGAATTTATTAACTGCAGCAAGGTTACTAGTAGGTCTATATTGGAAGAAAGATTCTTTGCCTACTTTAGAAGAATGGATATTTAAAGTATCTAGTTTTGCAGAAATGGCAAAAATTTCTGCTTATTTAAAGGATCATACACAAGAAAGATATATTACTGTATGGGGAAGGTGGATAGATTATATTCAGAAAAAATATGGAATTAAAAAGTTTTATTTATTTTATGAATGAATATCAAATATTATAGAGAATTGTTTTATAAGTTATGGAGTTAAAGGTTAATTATGATATTTTTTTTCTTTCTCTTTTTTTTTCTTTTTTTTAATTATTATAATTTTCTTTTTCTTTTTTTTTCTTAACCCTGTATTCTGCTCTGGGAAGTGAAGGGAGGGGGGGTGGGGGTGGGAGGGAGGGTAAGGGGGGGGTTCTCTATTTTAAAATTTTATTGTATTTTTATAAATGATTGTATGTTTTAAAAAAATAAAAATTTTCAATAACAAGATTTGAATGGAGTTTTCAGAAGAGTCAAATAACAAAAAAAAAGCCACTGAAATAATTTATTAGAAAAATTGTACCACTAAAAAACAGTGATTCTGCAATGTGCATCAGAGAAGGTGTAAATTGTTTCTGGCATGTAAGGCTCTTTTAAATATGACATACAGGCTCTAGAAAAGGTAAACTTCTTACAACATTTTCTTGTTTATTGGAGGAAATAGTTGGAGTAGCAACAGTTACATAGAGATATTCACTTGAATTAACTAGAACATCCAAGAAGGATACTTGGAAATGTTCCAATGCAAGCTTTATTGAATCAGATTTCACCAGGCAACAGCCATCCTAGCAGGCAGAGATTAATTGAAAATAGGATGGCTACATCATGCTTTCTGAAAAAATGGTTGCATGAAATTTGTCTTCTTCCTAAACAACCTCTATTTCAGCTAATTATTGTTTAATTTCTGTCACCTCCACTATATAAGCACTGCTTAATCCCAAAGCTATATTTAAAAATATTAAAAGACTTCACAGACCTACATATTTAATTTAACTACTCTGAAAATAGCACCACTTTGTACAATGCGATTTTTTTTATATTCTGAAAAATGTATGTTATTGAATAATAGGAATACTTACTATATATCCCCAGTCTCCATTATCCATCTGTTCCAATGTGTGATCTACACAAATCTGGATTTATCTGGTGTTTTTGAAAAGCTGTAGAATTCACCACTTACTCTTACCCTGTTTGGGGGAGGTGGGGGGGGGAGAGAGAAAGCATTGCACACTATGAGCACTTACAATAAACGTAACAAGCAAGTAGTCTCTATCTTGGATGCTAGCTACAAAGAAACACAAATTAAATTAAGTATGGTAGAACTCCTAATGCATCCTGACTACCTTGAATTTTTTATAGCCTCGGAGGAAATACGGAAACTGTTTGGTTATGCTGCCTGCCTTAAATAAAGAGCTGCAGCTTCTCTCAAAAAGATTTCACTTTAAAAACACCACACAATTTTATCTGGTCAAAAGCAGCTGGTTTTGAACAGCTAGTCAACTCTGCCAAACACATTACCAGGATCTTCTCTTATTTTCCCCAAATCAAAGATATAAAAGTATCACAGTGTTAAAGAGACAAACACTATTCTATTTAATTATTATTAGCATCTTCTATACAGATCAAGATTTTTTTAAAAAAAAAAACCCTCAAGTTTATCAGAATAAGGAAGAAAATAAGCTAACAAGTCATCAAAGTGTTCCAGTTTTCATGATGCTAAAATGAAGCACATACTTAGCTAGGGATAATAGTACATTATTTGGGCGTAGGGGGCGCAATGGCTGAGTGGCTGACAGCCCCAGTTTGAGACCCTAGCACTGAGCGATGGGGTGAGCTCCCATCCTTGCCTCAGCTCCTGCCCACCTAGCAGTTCAAAAGCATGCAAATGCCGAGTAGATAAATAAGTACCACTTCAGTGAGAAGGTAACAGCATTCTGTGCACCTCAGCATATAGTCATGCTGGCCACATGACCAAGGGAAGGGTCTTTGGAGAACACCAGCTCCCTAGGCCAGGGGTAGGCAACCTTGGCTCTTTTATGAGTCGTGGACTTCAACTCCCAGAATTCCTGAGCCAGCCATGCTGAGGGGAAAGGGAGAGGTTTCCAAGCTGAGCCATGCTGGCTCAGAAATTCTGGGAGTTGAAGTCCATGAGTCATAAGAGAGCCAAGGTTGCCTAACTCTGGCCTAGGCTAAGAAATGGAGATGACCACTGCCCCCTTGTCTTGGCCACGACTGGAGAGGGGAAACCTTTACTTTTATATTAACAGTATGTTACTAATAGCAAATAACGTTTTATGACAAAGTAGCATAGTCAAGGAATTAATTCACCTTTTAAATTATGTTATGTCTGTTTAAATACCACTTCACGTTATTGCCATAAATTCATCACTTGAGATTATCCTGCAGTAAATTTTTAAGTGTTTTGCTTTAGAAACAACTGAAATTGAAGAATAATCATATACAGGGAAGAGAAATGAAAAGACAGAAAGTTTTCAGCATAAACCATGCATGAGTTTTCAGCCTGATTTTTAATAATAAAACAAATTATTTCAGCATGTATTTTACAATGTCCTAATCCAGATAAAAAACACAGCACCCAAATTACTGAAGCATTTATTATTAAGAACATTTTTATGGATTTCAGTCCAAAGTCCACAAGACGGTTTTGCAATAATACCTTTTAGTCTAAAACAAACATTATTTGTTTTTACTGGAAAAGATTAATATAATTACTGTTCTAGAAACAAATACATCATTTTCAAAATAATTCAGATGTTTTAAAACTCCTATCCCAAGAAATATTCTAGGAATAAGAATTATAGTATCAATTCTGTCATTCCTGTCTAACATATTAGAGATGAGCAGAAGAATTTGATATGAAAAATAACAACAACTTTTATTTTTCAGTCAAACTTAGTCAGATATAGTATGGGCAAGACTAAAGGGAAAATCCATCTCACGACGTGCTCAATTCCTGGTAATTATATGGTCTGTATATATTTTTTGGCAGCAATACTCTATGGAAATTCCTATCTTCCCCCAGAATACTTTTCAATTTTCCAATCTACAGCTCTGGATGGTGTAACTTTCTTCTCCAAAGCTAAAATTTTGCTCTTCAATAAGCAGCAAGCTGGGAATCTGCCATTGTTGTGGAAAACCATGGCTTCCAGTACAATAATATAACATAATGGGCTGCCTTTCATTACACTGTATAAGCAAAAACAGCAGTTCACATATATCATTCTTTGCCTCTTACAATGGGGAATTATTATAATCACCCCAAATGGTGACCCACGCCCACAGCAGAATGTGAAGACTCCTCTGCAATATGTAGCAAGAGATCAATGAAAGCTTAATGCAGTGTCACTCTCATCCTTTTTTTTTAAAAAAAAAAAATCTCATTATACCCCCAAATACTAGTGACTTCACAGAAGAAGTGTGAGGACAAAGGTGAAAAAGGGGAAATAGAGAGCCACTAAAACAGATCTGAAAATAGTGACCTATTTTTAGACGTTGTCTACATGTATGATACATTTGCACCATCCCATCTCTTTGATACTGCCTATTTAAGATCCAAAGTTGCAAGCTGTATTACCAGAAGAAAATGTGTTTTACTTCATTTAAGTCCATTACCAATTATTCTGAAGGATGCAGATCTTACCAAGGTGCTACTTCTCAGTTTCATCACATGTGCCTTATTGAAATATATTGACTTTAGAAACTACTGTTAATCCGTAGTATAGCAGCCCAATTGCTAACCAAAGCTGGTTGCATGGAACATGATGGCTCCCTTGTTTTTTAAAAATTGACTTTCTATTTCTAAGTGCTACAGAAGATCCACTGAATATTTTTAACGCTTTGAACTGTTTTGGGCTAGAATACTTAAATGACCATCTTCCCCATGTTCATTTTCTATATCCACCTACTGTATTTGTCTAATGACATCCTCTGCTATGACATTTTCTATGACCAAACAACCCCTAAGGCATGGTCTTTTGGTGGCTCACTTAAGCTTGGTAATCCATTTTTTAAAAAAAGAATCTCTTTTTTAGTGTATTCTAGACAGCTCTGTGACCCATTGGATCATCCTCTGAGAGAAAGGTAGTGTAGTCTGATGTGACCAGAATAAACATTAAATTACCCCAATGCTAGATTATGGTTCCATGAACAAAAACAAAAAAAAAAACAAAAACAAATGTATTGCAATAACTGGTCAATATTTACTAACCTAAAGAGATAAAAGAATTACCATGAGCAGACCAAACAGCATGACTCTGTGTGGTCCAGTTATGACTTTCTACTGGCTTCCCCATTGATTTTGCTTGTGGGAAGCCAGCAGAGAATATGACTGCAAAGGTTCTGCAACAGCCACACCTAGTGTAGATATCATAGAAGTTTCAATTCCACAGGGGTCCTGGATTTTTTACTTCTTTACATTAACGGTTTTTAAATACCTTGAGTCAAAAAATGCTGCGGTATAATACATCACTTGAGCTAATTTGAGAGTACAAACAGATAAATGCAATGAGAGTTTTAGTAGTATATAAATTATTTACTGAAGGTCTTGAGGAAAATATATATATATAAACAGAAAGAAAAGACTCCAGAAAGTGAGGGACCAGGTAGATAAACAATGGATTTAGAAATGTGTTAAAATTATTAATAAATTAACTTTTCTAATATTTCAAAATACACAAAATACAAATATCAAAAGCAATAGACAATAAAAATAAATCCTATAATGAAATTATGAAATGCAATAAATTCCATTATTTGAAAAAAATATTAATTTAAAAAGCCCGTAAAAAATAAAATAAAGCATTTAAGAAACTATTTACTTGCAAATTATACTCTTCTCTCACTGTACACCAACTGTTAATTTCAAACAATTTATTTGTAAGCCTTAGGAATTAGGAATCTATTAGGTCTCTTCATCTATTTTCCCCCTTAGAAGTGTGATATGATATATATAAAAGAGCCATTCTTACTTGAATCTCAATAATCTTCCAAAACTAACATTATTTATATAAGAAGGAATTAAACATAATTATAACTTACCATTTTAACTCAGCTCTTTTTAATATTCCAAATGTTTTGATTGCTGGGTTTTGTGTTTCATGCAATGCTATAATTTGGAAAGATCTTTTTAAGTTATGAGTTGCTATAACCCAACAAATGCTCTTCAGAGACAAGACTCAGTATATGTGTTTTCAAACAAATCTGTTGACTAGGCTGGACAAACCACTGCCAACTGCAGAGGTTAATCTCAGTTCTCAATTCCCTTTAATATCAAAAGAAGTTCATGAGGCCTGAACATATAAAAATCTATTTTTTTCTCAAGGCAGTAAATCAAATTCAGCTGCAACTAGATCTGACTACTATAGTTGGTTAATTCACTTGATCTTAACATATACAAGAAAAGACCAACTAAACCTATGCTTCAAAAAAGCTTTCTATCAACACTGCAGCGATCTTGGCTGAAGCCATTTTTGCTTCATTTTCTGTTCCCACAGTACTGGGAGGGGGGGGGGGATGAGTAGTTTTAAGGTTAGATTAAACCAGGGGTTCTCAACCTTGGCAACTTTAAGACTTGTGGACTTCAACTCCCAGAATTGTTGAAGTCCACAAGTCTTAAAGTTGCCACGGTTGAGAATCCCTGAATTAAACAATAAATTATTCCTGTGGGAACCAAGGTCATTTGGCGGGCTGAGCCTTCCGTTAGAAAGTCCGCCGAAGTATTCTATTGGGGAATATGGATAATTACATACCGTAAATGCCAGCGTATAAGGCGACTTCCGCGAGCGCTGAAATCGGCGCCAAAGACGGGGGTCGTCTTATACGCCGAGTCGTCTTATACGCCGGAAATACTGGTAGTTTCCAGCGTATAAGACGACGTTCTAGGAATGTGGCCCGGCTATAAAGACAGGGGTCGTCTTATACTCCGGGTCGCCTTGTACGCCGGCATTTACAGTAGTGCTGGGGTGGGAAGTTCAACTTTGTAACATTAGGGAACTCCAGACTTGGTTTCACTTTTGACTGTGCAGCTACTTTGTAGCCAATAAATATGTTCTTTAAGGAAACCTCTTGCCTTGGAGTTCTACTTTTACTGGTCTCATCTATCGGAACCATGACATAGGTTGTTTCTTGGAGGAAAGAACAAATGAGTTGAGAATGTGAAATTCCACTC